GAAGCGTTTATAAATTTGTTAATTTCGCTCGCGGAATGAGAGCTCGCGACGCTAAGTAAGAAGAATGAGGGTAGCTATTCGCAGTATGGCGGACATTTGAACGCAGGAAGGAAAAGGGATGCTTATCTTTTTCTATCGGCATTTTTCTATCAGAAAATCTTTTATTAATCGAGTTTTGTTATAAATTATAAATTGAGAATTAATTTATTCGATTTATTAATATGGACATGGTGGTAAAATTCTGATAAAGTTGAAACTAGAAAAATTTCGTCGACATGAATATCAAGAAAATTTGTTTTCGCTAACTAAAAAGTGAAACGGGTAGGAAAAAGTTAATTGTGTTTCAGATTCATTGTTGTCTTAAGCCCGCCACACCTTTTACGAGAAAGACCTCAATTACGTCAGCTGACTAAATTTCTCTCATCTCTTAATAAATACGTTGCACAAATAAACCAACACTAAACAAAAACGAACTAGGTTAAGTATTTGCGGAATACTTAACTTCTCTAAAAAAAAATAAACAGGGACATTTTTTCGGAAACTACCTACGTATCGCCACCTTTCTTGATCATCAAATCCATTGCATTAATCTAAATCAAATCTCATATCTTTGTCCAAATATTTCACCAAAAATTTATTATCCCAAAAATTAACATTTTAACTTTACTCAATTAATCTCATAACACGAATAAATAATAAATAATAAAAAGAAAATGGGGTCAAGCATATCTAAAATAGCATATTCTTAATCTCACGAAAAAATGCAAGCTAGTAATATTTTTTAAAAGATATGAATTATACATATTATAAATTCCTATTTGAATTTATAAATATACTTTTTTCATCACTTTATCGTTCCCACGTATCACATCCACGTTGAATAATTTCTTTATAATTCAAAACTTTTCGTCGAAATCTCTTGGATCTCTTAGATTGCGACCACCCTGCTGAACATTCACGTCGCGCAAACTGCTCGTTTCCTACCAGTTACGATTACAAACGTTTCATTAACCCTCATTCCCGAGGAAGCTCGATCAATCCCTCTAATCAGGGAAATCTCTATTCTTCGCGTACTAGCAACCATCGTGTAACCAGTTTCCGGTCCACGCGTCATCCGACTGATCTTCGCAAAGACGAATTCCGTCGGATATTCGTGGAAGAGAAGTTGGCAAAGATTAAAAAATAAAAAAGAATGTATTATGTAAAAATAAATCGTTTTTTTAAATGTTAATTCGTTCATTTTCGTTCACGGCTGTGTTTTGGAATCCGCGAAGGACCTGCGTTGCGTTTAGCTAGTTCGGTTGTTTTTCGAAGAAATAGTTTCCAGATTGGGTGGGCAGGATGAAAGGAAAGGTGGAAACGGAACAGAGGATACCAAATTGTATCCGGCGATCTCGGTACGATAAGTTAAAACCCTGAAACTTTACCAATTTGCTCGAATGGTGCGAAGAGAATGATTTCTCCACGGAACAGAGGACAATTGTAGGGGATCGTTCGTGCCAGGTAGTCGGAAAATTTCCAAATAATTCGTTGCTTTACACCTGGAATTTCGTTGAAAGATATTTCAAGCTGGGCTTTTTATTGCGATACGAATCAGGAAAGAGTTTTATGCGAATTATTAAGATTAAGAAGAAGAAGTGAAGAAGAAGGCAAAAGTATCAGTAATTAATTAATGTTATTTGTCGATACGTATAAGATTGTTCAAAACTTTGAGATCATTATGTTATCTTCCTTGAGAAATTGTGAGAATCAATCAAATTGATCAAATTGTCAAATCATAATTCTTAAAATAAACCATAGATTGTATGCGTGATTTTTAATAATATTTCGATAATATTCAAAGTGAAAAAATTCGTGTTTTAAACTTACGAATCAAATAAAAAATTAAATTGAATGTTGTATACTTGTTTATCGTTATTCTCATCTGCTATTTATCCTTGCCGATCCCACAAACGACTTAAGTGTCAAAAGCAGATGGTCGTGTAATCTATTAGCGAAGGGAGAACTCGCAGCCATTATTACTCATAAATACACGAGTCGTCGAACAAAATTGGTGGAAAACGATCGTAATGGAAGGCGTGAAAATACGCTGGTGAAAATGGTGGACAAGATCCAAATGGAGAAAGAAAGACGAACGAAAGAAAAAAGCGGACGAACAACCGAAAGGGTGAATGGAACAAAGTGAATAAAAAAAACGATGAGAAAAAGAGTGAAAAAGGGTGGAAAAAAAAAGAGAGAGGAAAAAAAAATAAATGGAACAGAGCATGTGTCGGCACCCTGTCCTACCCGTTGCAGTGTTCGTTTAATTTCGATTCGATTTTCCGGCGTAGCGATGGTAAACGCGGTGCAGAAACGAAAAAAATCTCGACGTGGTCGCGTCGATGTCCGTGAATCAACGAGAACTACGTGTTGGTGCTTTATTCGGTCGCGATAAACGTCATAGCCGAGCGATGACGGTAACTAAACCGCGCAACTATTACTTTCGATATAGCTGCGTGTCACCGTTTGAAAAGGTGCGATTCGCAATTCGCTGCCCGGATACGCGACGATTTTCGATCGTTTCGTTTTCGCGATATGGAAGAGAATTATTATTGGAAGATGTTTGAATTGTATTTTTGGTGATTTCAAAGAATTCGATTCGAACAGCGTGATTTCTCGTCTTGTAATAATTCTAACGTCGATCTGACGTTAAAAATTATGTAATAGAGAGAATATAAAAAGATGAGAGAACGATTTTACGAGAAAACTCGTATGTAAATTTGTCTCAAATTGTAGAACCGTAGGTCTTTTTTATATCAACCCGATTTCGAACGTGAAAAGATGAAACGAGCCCCCAAAGATTGAAAATCCCTTTCTTTTTTTTTACCTTCATAAATTTTAAACATCTCATGGATGAACTACACCTCTTGAAAAAATTTATATTGCAGAGCGAATCCACTGAACCTTCAAATTTCTCTGCTCTTCCCTCGGAGTCCGGACCTTTGAACCAGGAATATTCAAACGATAACAATAGATCTGACCCTTCTGATCCATCGGTCGCAAAAGGCAGATACATTTCATAGCCTCGGGTCTAATAACATAACTCACCGAAGACAGCATCGATTTCGGATATTTGGATAATGTGGCCCGTAAGTAGAAGAAGAATCAATCGTCGGTGAGGGTGTATCCAATCTCGACCAATCTCGACCTACTCCGATCTTGCCTACAATTTCCTCGAAAGAGAACTTCGTATCTGATGAAAGATTCGAAATAAACCTCTTCGTTCATTCTCTTCCCTCTTAATTCACATGGATAGATGCCACATTCCTTGACAGATCGATTCAGGGTATTCCGTTCCTTTTTTCATTTAGGTAATTCAACATATGTAAATAGATATCGAATAAACGATGAAGAAAAAAAAAAGGTGGCAGAAGGAAGATAAATTAACGTCGAGGAAGATTTCATTCCATGGAATAAGATTTCACAAAGAAAACGATATAAATCTTTACAACGAAGACGAGTTCGAAATTCTGTATCTCTCCGGACTTGAAATCCAATCTCTTCTGATTTATTTATTTGTTTCTCGTTAAAGTTATCCCGACAAAGTTTCACAACTTTCTTACGTAGGTATTGTATAACTGATAGCACATAACACGGCCGAGACGGCGACCACTTCGACACTTGGACGCGTTCGACGACCGAACAATGAAGCCCCGCACAAAGAGACTTCCCTTTCGAATTGACGGAATAGCACGATTCGATGGAGACCAGCGGGCGTGAATGAATTCCTTTCGAGTTTGTGCCAAGGAGATAGTTCGCCCCGTTTCGATATCCGTTTCTTCAATCCGCGCGCGACACGTTCTACAACTGGCGACCAGGACAGCCACGACAGAATTCTTTGCCTCCTGGAATCTAACGGACGTGGATAGGCTTGAAAGTGAAAGTCGAAGGTGAACAGACGTGTGGAGGAGGAATCGCTAGTGAACGTGGTATATTATTCATAAATTTCATCCTGTGACGGATGTACGTTCAATCGATTATTGAACGCGATCTTTCTACGAGATCTGATATTAATTTATTAAAAATTACCTTGTACACATAGATTTATTTTTAAATTCAGAAAATTTTTCTCAAAGAAGAATTAGAAATCGAAGAATTCGATCGAATAATTAAATGCTTAAATAAAATTTTTCTTTTTCACAATAATAATGAATTTTATTCCACAAAATTAAATAATTTATAATAAACGCGAAAATTCTCACGATATAATATGAAAATTAATTTCAATTATCTCGAAAAGGGACGTTCGAACAAATTATTGCAATATTCTGCATTAGTTATTCGTTTAACAGAGATTACATTCGAAAGCTTTCTATATGCGTATCTGTATATACACGTATCTAAAAGGTGTAATAAATTGGCCGACAATATAATCGGGAAATACATTGCGCGTGATGGATTAAGTACACGCTTCCACGGTCTCGGCTCGCTATTGGCTTTCGCGCTGATAACACGCCACAGACAACAATGATACAAACACCTTTTCAGGGCAGGAGGACTAGGTCGCGTTTAAACCAGGTTGCCAGTTTATTCCGACAACATATCGAAGTCGTAATCACGTCGATGCAGCAATGTCACGTTATCATTCGTATGCAATGATTCGTCACCAGTCACGCTGTCGCATGGGACATTTCGTGCATATGACAGTGCAACTCGTTTCACGAAGAACGACGCCGATACAGGGAACGCGAGCATCCCCGACTTATTGATAATGAAAATTATAATTCACAATTGCAACTTTTATCTTTTTATACATTTTTTTAATATTTCACGCTTTAATAAATGATGTCTTTTTTTTTTCGATCAACAATAATTTGATTTATTTCCTTAACGTGTTTTTTCGATATTTTTGTCTTTTTTGTCTTTCTTGTTTTCACTGTCAATATTTTATATTTATTTTCTACCGGTATACCATATAGAAAAATTAATATCTGCGGAAAAATATAAAACAAATCACTCTGTATTTTTACATTTTTATTTTTATTTATTATTTATTTTCAAATTATTACTTTTCGATAACAAATATTCACAAAATTTCGCCAATCTTTTTTTCTTCTTTTATAAATTTCATTGTTATTCGAATTATCCACGATTTACGCATATTTAAATCAGCAGAGTAATTTGAGAAATTGAAAGATATATGGAAAAATATATTTGGCACATGTATCCGACAGGACGTTGCGATATCGTTTGGCAGTCAGCATAAATGAAATTTCATTTTCTTCTTGTGAATCGATCAATAATTGGTCGGCCGAATTGTATCCTCCGCTTCCTATGCCGATTGTAATCCGATTCGCAACATTCCACGCACTCCATTGATAGTCTCCAATCGAGGCCTCGCAGAATTTCGACTTCTGTACAATTCGATTCTCGTCACGGGTCTTCGATGACGTTTTAACACCATTTCTATCGAAACAGCCAAGATTCTCTCTCATCCCTTCGCGTGTGTTCCGATCGATTCGAATCGAATAATGTTAAAGGAAAATGAAATTTCCTCTGGTTCGAAAAAATGGCCGCAATCAATGCAAAGAGTTAAAACGAAATCAATTATTTATTCAAATTTGGTTTAATAAAAAAAGAAACGGAATCGTATCATAATATCTTTGTGAAATATTGAAAAATATTGTAAAATTTGATTGTTTCTCGTTATTTGGATATTCATAGAATCGAAATAAAAATTCCAGCAGTGGAGAATAAACGATGATTAAATATGCATACATACAGGATTAGGCTACGGAGGCTATGAAGGTCGCTTCCACTTCAAGTGCACCGAACTAAATTTCGTTTTCGTCGACCTCACAATGTCACTGACTCCGTGTCTAGAAACAGGGCTTTCGACCTCACCACGTGTATATATGAGCAAGCAATGCCACGAGCTAAAATTACAACCGCTCAAATATTTAGCCGTCCTTCTAATAGTTAACACTGAACTCCAAAAACCGTCGTTCGAGCGCACACAGCCGTGTACGTAAGATACGAAAACAAATATCAATCTAATTGCAAGATATTGCTAACAACTCGTTTTATCTCAGTCAAATTCATCACTGTGACTTGAATCTTGTGATAACAATTTTAAAGTGTAGTAAACGTATCCAAAGTTTGAAAAATAAAAAGAGAACAACAGTGGAAAAAAAAAAATACAAATTGTGAATGAAATTACGAATTAAGAAAAAGAATATTCTCCTGGAAAAATATTAATAAAATAACAGAAGACAGAAGAACTATTAGAATATTATTTTTTATCAAATAAATGAAAAATAAGAAAGAATCGATATGAATCTGATAAAGATATACGCTGCCAAAAATTTGTTTAATCGTAATTATCCATAATTTTATTCGTAGTTTAAAATGTTCATAGTATTTTAAAGTTTTCAAAGAGTTCCAGGCGAAAGAAACGACACAAAAGAGACAATTGAATCAAGAAAAAGAAAAGGGAGATAAAAGAAACGATAAGAGGAGCGCGAAGAGGGAGCGAGTTTCGTTATCAGTTCCGCGTCCGTGGGGTCCGATCTCCATCGTCTAGAAACGAACTTGACCCGGTTAAAGCCAGCTGCAGGAATATTTCGTGATGTATCTACCTGTCGGGCATAGGTAGAACGGCTGCTCGCGGCGAAGGTGAGCCCCGGCTAGAATAGCGACAAGTGGAAGAGGGACACGACGTTTCGTGGTAGGCGCGAGTGAAACAGTTTACTCCGCGAGAGACAAAGAGTAGGTCAAGTTCAGAGGAACGTGGATGGAGTAACAGTCGAGTGACTCTCGCTTTCATATTCCCTGTGGCGTATACACGACTGTCGTATGCACGTATGCACGCGTGACCACACACGAAGCAAATTCGCCTATTCTCCACGGAATGAAGATTGAGAAATGATTGTCGAGGAAATTTCAGAAGGGTTAAGTTTTAACCCGAGGGTAGAAATTTTTTTAGACCAATTAAAGGAAAGAAATTTTGATACTTGGAAGCGATTTTTTTTTTTTGGCTAATTATCCAGAGTGAAGAAAATCTTCGAGACGAAGTTTCCGAATGATTTTGAGAGAAAAGTTTCAATATTGGAAAGAATGGATGAGATTTGGAGTGTTCGAAGAAAAATGAAGAATTTAGGTTAATCGGGAATCTTTCGTAAACGAACTGATTGTCAAAGAAGCGTTTCGCATGATTTATATTGATATTCGTTACGAACGATCAAAAGAAGATAATTTTCAAACTTCTCTTATCGTGAAACTTCGTTTTAGCGAAAAGTTCTCGCAAACTCGTCTCACTTAATCAGTAAAATTCCCTTAAGGAGTAATAAATAAGGAATGGACGATTGGTTAAAAACGTTTCGAGATAAAGAGAAATCGTACTTTGAAGTCTCTCTTATCCGGTAGAAAATTTTCATAAGTTCACGGTATAATTTATAATTATTTATTCATTGAAATTCACGATTAATTATCAAATGTATTCGATCAAATTGAAGAATCGCTGATTGTGGTTCTATCTTTCGGAAACAACATGAGTTATCGTTTTATACAAGAGAGACAAGAAATGGTCACCAATTTTGTTTGGCTCTAATGACGAGATTGTATCTACTAATGTTGCATCGTTCTACAACGAAACGTGCGCGGTCAACAGCTTCCATGTCCCCGATTATCCTGACCACCTGTCATAGTGATTATTCGTAGGCACATAATCCGATTGCCGTTTGTCGGCGATAACAACGTCGTGGAGAACGTATGCGTGTACGAAATACGATTACCCGATATGAACAGCTTTAATTTTGATATGATTACGGTGAACATTAGGACAAGATTATGTTGGGATTATTTTGTTTGAATAGAAGCTGTTAAATGTTTAACAAAAATAAATCAATCGGGGTAAAAAAAAATAAAACAAACATGTTTGAAAGTTTAAAGATTTCGATTCGGATTAATTATAGAAAAGATAAGAAAGATAATAGCGTTCAATGTTGATTGATTCATACATCTTGTTTTAAAGCTTTTTGAAATACAATCTAATCTTGTTCCTTGAATTTTTTAAAGCTACACATTGTTGTTATTTATCATGAGTTATTTATAAGGTATCGTTAAAATTAATATGAAATATGTACAACACGCTTAAAATATATCTCTCTAATCATATATCAATAAACCTTGACTTACAATACAACGTGACCATCTTCCTTTTCTTATCTCACAAATTCTATATAACGCAGTAAAAATGTTTCCAGAAAAATGTTTCAATTATACATCGTAAACTATTTATAACGATAATCATGTCGAAAATAAAATATCAATAAGATATTCTCCACATATTGCCATTTGCAAAATATACGTACAAAAATGGATATTTCCATTTATCCACGAGAAATTCATCCTCAAAAATATAAAGCATATATATAATATACAGTAAAAGATGTAACATGGATCATGGATCCTTGACGAATGACAATATCATGGACTCGTGATCGATGCGTATCTGTCCTTTGGCCCTTGACCGAGCAATTGCCGAGAAACACACGTCGCCGGGCGTATTAAGTGCGAAGAAATTACCTTGAAAATCACATCGGGGCCGATTCGACTCCGCACTAGCATTATCATTGGGTTTCCGCCGCGACAATCGTATCGATAGACGGTTGCTCGATGCTCGATCCTCGAGCCTCTGAAAGGCGGGTGACTGGGGGTGGTGGAAGGCGAGACAAAGAACGAAAGTGAAACGACGAGAAAGATGCAATCGTAACGAACTACGTATAAAGAAGGCCCGATAGTCAGACATGCGACATTTTTTCATTGTTCATCGACAAACGATCACCGAAACCGGAACAGACCATGGTATCGCGCCACGTTTCCGCCACGTTTCTCGCCTCTCTCGTATTTTTCGCCGCCTTTGTCAATTGTGTCTCCAAGGAATATAATAATTGTGAGTAATTCACGTTTATTGGTCAATGATCAAGAATTTTCTTTTTTCTCTTTTTTTTTTCAGAATCTTTTTCTAGTTCAGGTTTATCGGTATTTATTATTAAATTAATTCGAATAAATGGGAAGGATTGTATCGCGATGGAGAAACGGAAGCAACAATTACGATCATTATATTGAAATTTGTTTTATCTTTGTTAATTCGAATTTCGATGTTGAAAATTGATATTAAATTATTATAATTAATTAAACGTCAAATCAATCCTATACTATTAATTATAGGTTGAATATTTTCTGATTTGAAAAATATTATAATAATACATAATACGATGAAAAATATTTAATGGAAGATATAAAAAAATTGTTGACAACTTTTCCGATTGTAGATTTATATAAGAAACGGAAATGAATAGGAAGTAAAGATAAATCGTTAATAATCAGTAAAAAAATAGAGAATTGACAATCTACGATATTTGGAAACTATCATTCGAAAATTATTTTCGAAAAAAGAGATAGGGATAGCGTTCTATAAAAATAAATTCATTGAAAAAAAAAATTCAAGCCAGACAAGAAAAAATTCATTTAAATCTATTTATTCGATTTCCGCTGTTAACATTTTTATCAGCCATATTTCAAAAGTACCGAGCTCAAAATATTCGAATCAAGTCCTTCGCAAATACGATTGATCTCGACGATCGAGTTTGATACATCAAAAACAACCGCGTTCCGAAAATCCGTATCGATCCTATGATATTTATTAAACGTAACAATTTTACGCGACATTAGCCCCCGTCGATAACCTATGCGTGAACGAAGGGGCAGAACAGCGTAAATTGCAGTTACGCGAAATGACAGGCTTAACATTGGATTTTCAGAGTCATTCATTACCGAATGAATGCAGCGATGCACTTGCGCCATACCAGCCAGTCACGCGCGATTGCTTCTTAAAACGAATTGAATCTAATTTAAATCCATTCACCTTGAAATATTGACGCCACGAATCTCTTTAGAAAAAGCGGATTCTCATAATCTCGAGCGTTAATAATCGAGAGATCATATTAACTATTTACAGAAATTATTTACAGAAACTGATCAAACTGATTAATTTCTCCTCCTTGATAAACAATTCTTATTTTTAGAAATCGGACCGGCTTCGATCTTTCATTCAAAATTGCATAAAATTTTATCTATCACGATTCCAATTCGATGTGATATTATCCATACAATTTCTCGTGTATGGACAGATTTTTTTTCATATTACATATCAAAAATATATCAATATATCAGAAAACCGGGCGTTGTACGCAAATTTTATTCGCTGATTATTCCGCGACTTACGTATGCGGAAGGCTAGAACAGAAAAATGAGCCTATAACCTAGTCGAAGGCCGACGGAATTAGGCAACGTATAGCCTCGACGGGCTCGATGACTCGAAAATTTCGACAGGGCAACGTATCTCTTATACGACCATTCGCATTTGACGAGGTTCTTAACCCGACGAAGGTTACGGCCACACAACGCCGCTAGAAATTTAATTGTCACGCGGACCCGCAATTTTCAAATTTATCGCAATACTCTCTGTGTCGAGCATTCGATGCATTCGCATCATCGGGGACAAATTAATGGGTTGCACGCAGCAGAAAGGTAATCGCGTTAACGGGGAACACGCGTAATTACGGATAAAATTAGAGAAACGAAAGTTCATTAATTTTTAACTCGAACGACGATATAATTGTCGTGAATAATTGTGAGTGATGGAAAATCGCGATCCATCATCTTGAGATCTTTCACCGAAATCAATTTTGAAAGATCGGAGATGGTAATTAGAAGACGCGTATGATTAATGAGTTCCGTGTCGAGCTTCGATCGCGAGATGTCGAGTTGAAAATTGCTCTTTCTAACAACGTTCAATTCTTACTTTATCGATACCAGAGATCAACTTTCATTGATATATAATCATGAATGGATGAAGCAAACGGATGAAAAATTTGAGTACAAGATAATTATTAAATTAAGATCAAGAAATTTTATTTAAAAAAAATGTTTAAAGAATTTTATCTTACGTACAAATAAGCGGAATATCTATGCCCTTAAAGCTTAAACCACCTGTTTTAGATACATTTTCGAGGGATAAAACGTGAAATTCGATTTCATACCGAACTGATCCATTACAAAGTACATTCATCGTAACTTTCATGATTTGAAATTCCAGGAATTCTCCTGATACGCGGATCGGAAATATTATTAACGAAATATTTCCATTGCGATTACGTAAATCATTTTCATAACCGTCGGGTTATAATGTCGACCCGTATCGAGTGGCAAGATAAATTAATTATCAAGATAAATTGCCATCGATCTAGACAACCTCAATTAATCCTTTGCATTCCCATATCTCATGCGACGCGACATTCATGTTTTGTACTACTGAATTTCGCGCTCAACCAAGCAACGCGATCCAGAGATTCCCATGAAAATTACACGAGCCACCAGGATAAAAGTATTCCAAACGATTAAAATATCGGGTTATAATCGATCTTTTAAACGGTCGTTTTTTAATCTTTCTCTTTTTTCCTTTTTTTTTTTTTTTTGACTTTTTTCTTCTTTCTATAAAATCCATTTTAATCCATCCGTATTATGATCCATATTATTTTCTTCGTAAATGTATTCTTCCATACATTCCGGTACATTACGATTCTATATTAATACCTTGTTATACGATAATATAATGTTCCCCTAGATATGACGCACGATATTCTCTTAATCAACCCTATTCGTCGAATCCATATCGCGCAATTAACAAGAGAATACCTGTCAAACTCATTCAAAACATATCGGCAACAGTTTAAATCAGCATGAAACCACTGAAAAGGGAAACCGAGAGTGGGAAGGGGGAAAAAACGAGGCAAAGCAAACCGAAAAGGGTTCCCTTTCTTCCCACTGTGTCGATTCAGGCTCTTCCAGCCGTTAAAATAACCCCATCCACTGCCACCTGCAGCCGTCAGAATCCGCACAAAAGACTCGAAAAAGAATCTCCAACCTGCCCGTCCCGAGGATCGTTGTGTAAGGGGAAAAAAAGGCTTAATCCAAACTGTGAGCGAAATCAACGGGGAGGAGGAGGGAAGGGTGGGTAAACGAGCCAGAGAAGGGAAGTCGCCGATGGCTCGACGAAAGCATCAGCATATTATCATGACCATGTTCGACCTGCTTTTGACATATCTATTACGCGTTTCCGAATAGAGGTGACTTCGAATTCTATGCCTGTTCCGTGCCCATTCTACCCCCCTTCAATGGCCGTATCCCTTCGCTCTCTGTCTTCTTCCCGCGGTTTCGGTGGCCGTGAGAAGAGAAGAGACACCGGAGGGCGGAAATGGAGAAAGGGGTTGGAAACTGGAGGGTCGAAGGGAGGTCCCCGAAATCCCAGAGTGGGTGGAATCGGTGGTGCAGACGTAGAGGTCCAATTAATCAGCCGAGGCGTGAAACGAGAGGGGAAACGTGAAAGGGAGGGAGTGATTCGGTGGAGGGCCAGAGGGATGTCGCAGGGATTGCGGTGACAGATCCGCCGTATCTATCCCTATCTGCTCAGGGCATTAAATTCGCGCGATGCCAGTACCGGTGCCGTCAGCGGCTGCTTCCTCTTGAATCGGTTAACATTCCGTTGTATGCGTTACTTCGGCTTTCAATTAAACGGTTGCACATCATCAGTTGGACGCGTCTCGTCCGTGGTTTTAATTTGAACCCTCCGATCTCGACGAAGAGTTGGTTTTGGGATTCAGTCGAGGAAAAGATCGATGGAAATCGATCAATCGAATATATTTGTAATTACTGTCATATGCAATTACAAAGAGGTTCAAAAAGGATCTGAATTTCGTTCCATTCCATTTATGAAACTTTGATTACAAAATTTCATTACAAACGATTTCCTGGAATGATCGTATCTAATCGATTCCTTTTTTCTTTCTTTTTTTTTTTTTGTTCTCTCTTCGCATACCGCGAACGTGCCATTTCTCGTAGAAGAAATAACTGAAACAGAATTTTGTTCGGTGTTAATGAAATACGGCGGGTGATTATTTTTGATAAAAGTTAAAATGAACTTTGTGTCGGCGCTCGATTAATGAAAAAAACGGAGGGGGTGTTCTTCGGTCGCTACAACTTTTTGAAACCATTTTCCCTTTAATTGTAAATTGTTCTCGTAATTTCACTTAATTGCAACGAAGATGAGGTCTAGACTTTTTAATTCTTTTCTAATTTCGCGAATTATACGCACTCGAATGCAAAATAGAAAGGTGAAACGATTAAAACAATTTCACCGTTAAAAATATAAAAACGTTTTAATTTTCTCAATTTATTTGGCTTTTAAAAAATATTTCAGAATATTTCAAAAAATGTATATTATCATTTTTAATAATTTATTATTTTCTTTCTAGTTTTGAACAAAAATTTAGAAAAACAAGATCTCCGTATTATCATTTTTTATATTACAAAATATTTATCGTTTCTCTTTCTTTTTTTTTTTTTTTCTTTTTTGCAATCAGTTGCAATCGTTTCTTATCGGATGTTAACGACAAAAATGCAATGCTTGCAATAACAGTTGCTGATGTCCCTTGCGGCCAAGGAAATATTGGCATACGCACGGCGAGACTAGTCGGGGGACAAAACGCGATACCGCACGAGTTTCCTTGGATGGTGAGCATCAGCAGAAAAGGAGGACACTTCTGCGGTGGTACCATACTTAATTCAAAATATGTCCTGACTGCGGCCCATTGTCTATGTTCGTAAGTAAATTTAATGTATATATCAATTTCTCTATATTACGCACAATTTTACTAATTAACTAGCATTTTAATAAATATTCCATATATCCTGTTTAATATTTAGATAACAATTAATTATGGAAATTATAGAATAATATACAAGGTATAAACGGTTTTGGAAATCATGTCTGTAATTGATTAAAATACACGACTTCGATTTATAGATGGAATAAATACACGATGCATTTGAATATGTTGTTTTATTATGTTGTTACAAATGTTTATTTGTTTTAAAACGATCATTCATTTAGAAATCAAAAAAAATGAAAAAAAGATTCGTTGTTGTATCTAAATATCGTACCAAGTCTATATTATTGTGTATGCGTAAGCGAACAAATTTTGCAATATGCACAGAGAGATATAGGTACAGCGTTGAAATGAATTTTTATACAACAAAATCTCGATACGAATTGGATAAAAAATTGTTTCAAAATTTTACATAGCAGAACCTTTGAAATTTCCAAACGTAATATTAAAAAATATTTCATAATAAAAAAAAAATACTAAAAAAAAAAAAACGAAGTATCATCGATGATTATTCAAATAGAAATTCTATCCTGTAAGCATCGAATCTGCTTAAAAGAGTTACTGTTCAATATCCGACCAACTACTATCCAATACCTTGAATATTTTTACGATATTATACTTTAATTTTATTTATAAATTCAAAATAAATCGGCTCGATTCAGGAACTTGTTTTGTCGACAGTTCGCGAAAAATATCGAAAAAAGGAGCACCTAAATTTCAAAGCATTACAATATCGATCGAATGGATAGTTTATACCCCCATTCTTTGCAATAATGCTGGTATACGCAGTGTTCGCGTAATCAATATGCAGGTTGCCATCGAAAATATTCATGGTAGAAAAACGACTGTTTCTTCATGGAAAGCTGCCCATTGTTCCCTGTAATCGAATTTACGAGCGCGACACGAGAGAGAGAGAGAGAGAGAGAAAGGGAGATCTTATCGCGGATTCACAATAGCCCCCTCTGTGCCAAAATTTTCTACCGTTTTCAGTATCGCTGTTAAAATGTCAGCGAAACGCGAATAACCAATCTTGTCCAACAAACCGTGACTGTAATTATTCTGATCCGATCTCGACGATTCGATGGCCGCATGATTAAATCTCATACACTGAAAACGTATTCATTTTTCAACAAATATTTCGTTGCAAACAGCATTTCGCATAAATATTACAAATTTTATAATACGCAAGTTTAATAGATTCATAATTTTTTCTCTTTGAATTTTAAGAAATAATCAAAAGTTAAGAACATCAATGAATTGGATCAATAATAATTGAAACGATTTGAAAATGATTATGAAAATGTTTAAATGATAGCATTTATATCTTTTGATGAATTTGTAGCGTTTATATCTTTTCGCGTGCAATGCATCGTATAAAGTGACAAATATATTAACATTTTTCCGAGCGCGAAACGAGGGAAATTGGGTGAGGAGCATGGTCGAGAAAATATCACTTTAAAGTTCGACCCGAGTGGTTCAATTTTTTAAGAACGGGGCTGCCTCAAAAAGCTTTGCAAGTGACTGCGTCATAATCCACTTAATCCATCCGTGCAATCTATGCGAATCTGTGTCGGGTTTAAAAACGTAGAAATCCGCGTGTTGCGCGGCACGGCGATTACGGTCCGTAGTTTGCAAAAATCATCACGCTCTGCGAAAGGATAAAAAGTTTAATGCGCGCCTCTGTAGGAATTACGTAACGTGTAAAAAAAAAAGAAAGAAAGAAAGAAAGAAAGAAGGGGAGTGGAAAAAGAGAAAAAAAATGGAAAGGGAATACTACGAAATTCCAACATTACGTTACACCTATTTTTATCATGTCACTTTCACGTGAAATATTTTCCGTAGAAAATGGAATTACAAACGATAAGAATCAAGTAAATGACGAAAAATAAAATCGGACGAATTATAGATAAAAAGCGAAAGGAATTTTTTATTTGGCGTATAAGTACTTATATGTACTTATACGCATAAATAATACGCATATGGCGAAATATTGAACGTTAACAGAACAAAAGCATTTCTCTGACTTGCTGTCTGGCTTTGTGATTATCGAACGACCGGATAAACGGCCAATCACTTCGTTAAAATTATATAAAACGACGAGACCGTGTGCTATTCACGGATATCCTGTCGCTCCCTGCGGTCGTATACATATACACACACGGGACACGATATCGATGTTAATTGGAGCGACGATTACATTTTAAATGAAACCTCGAGCGTATTTTTCCGGCGAATGAGCAAGTCGAATGGAAAGGCAAAGAGCATTGTGTCAAGTTAAAAACTGCTGTACCACTATTTGCCCGCGTAAACATTGTCGCCAAATAGAGTCAAGAGGCGGCCTTTTATTAAATGCCAGGTGAAAAAGGTTCTGTCCAACTGAGGGGGGAGTGTGTGTATCTATGCGGATACGCGAATCAATCCTGCAACATCGCATAACGTGGTATTTTTACCATTTATACAAACGATTAATAAGACACGATCAGGGAAAATAATAACGTAACAAAAAAGTGTGTCGACGGGTACGATTCTTGTCGAACATTTAACCGATTGATTGGCAAGCGAAATTATTTATACGATCGATCGAATCGTTCGCGTTATTAACAATGACCCTTTGCCATACTCACGGAATTGTCTGCAATTAATTATGCAATAGGTTATCAATGATACCGTGTCGGCTCTTCGGCGAATAGAATTTATTTGGTCTATATTTTGCGAATTATCATTCTTGCAGAAAATTTCGCATTTCGATGAGAATTTATTTATAAAATTTGAAATATCTCCGTGAAAAAAATATAAAAATAATGACGCATTGCTTGGAAAATAATCGTATAATATATATTATAAACATCGATTATAAACACTAATTATAAATACACATATTAAACGGTATAACATAATTTCAAGAATTAATATTAAGAATTATGATCACTTATGTTAAAAAATGAAAAAGAGAGAAATGTGTTAGTGATTTCAATTTAAAAGCAATTTCCACGCTTTTCATTTTAAGAGAATTATATTCGAAGCATTGTAATAGGATCCTGGAAACTCTTCCTATCACCAGATAAAATCGAGAGGGGATTTCAAAAATATTCATAATTTTTTTTCTCACGGATACAACGGAGATTTATGTGGAACAGTGTCCATGCAGGTGTAATTAAACGTCGAGACAGTGGCGTTGCACGATGAAACGTGTAAGCGCTCTCTGTCTTTATCTTTGTTGAGTATGTAACAGAAACAGAGAGATAGATAGAGAGATACAGAAGTGAGAGAGAGGAAGAGAGAGAGAGGGATGATAGAGGAAAGGGGGTTGAAGCTGGACAGGGTGGCCATAGAGAGAATCCAACGGAGCTTCGGCGTTGTAAACCATGATTGCGTGTAGATTACAGACCACTCGGTAATTGCTAGCAGCCATGCAAAACGCATGACAAAATGTTGCCAGCTAGCGCGAGATCGTGAAAATATATCCAACTCCAACCATTGTCCACATTTTCTTTATCGTTCACGGAAACAGCCGAAATAAATTTCGTTAATGTGGTTCTACGCGCGAAAGAAAATTATTCGTCAAGTTATCACGAAAAAAAAAAATAGAAATAAAAATAAAAGAAAAATGTGAAAGAATTACAGATACACTATGATATAAAAGTGTATATGATATAAAATCCACTCATCGTTATTATCGTTTGGAACGTTTGGATGATTAATAAGAATTCGGATAAAATTTTAAAAAATAAGCGACAAGTTTCAGTTATTGACGAAATCGAAATGATTGAAATTAAATTCACCGTAAAACAGATAACAAACCTTGTCATACAAAAGAGTTTATAAGCAAATTAACAGTTCGATTAATGGCCGAATACCCAGTTAAAAAGGTCATTCCCCTAGTAGTGCGATCCAACATTTAGCCGATGGTGTATTTTAATTGGAAGAGGTGCGATGATAAAGATAGGAAATAACTACGATAATGCATCCATGCTAAATTGTACAATCTACAATAGGACAATAGAACTGCCTCAACGAAGATAGAAAGATCCATTAAGGAGGGGATATCTTTGCAAGAAAGATGAATTTTGAAACTTGAAAACGACTCGAATATAATTGTACTATTCTCAAATCGAGTGATATCACGAAGAAGAAATTGGGATAGACTTCCTTCCCATCGTTCATAACGGAAGAGAGTAAAATGAAAATTGAAAAAATTTCGTTAATTTGAAAACTATATCGGCTTTTAATTATAAATTAATTAAATATTTCGAGAATAAACATTGAAATATCAATATCGATCGTTATAAAAAAATAAAAAATTTAAATAATTAAATTTAAATAATTAAATAATTTAAATAATTATAATATAACATATATAATAAATATCTAAATAATTACAAATAAAAATATAAATTGCGTGTTATTTCGTTACTTTAGAAACGAAAGGATAGAAAAAAAAAAGAATAGAAAAAGCATAAATAAAAAATAAAATGGAGAATATGTGAACTATATCTATATCTCTTCGTTTTTTCTGAATTTTTTTAATTTTCACAGTGATTATTTGTTGATTTATTGGATCTTGATTCCTAGAAACAACCATAATAACGAGCTATTCGTCCTACTTGGTCTATATATATATCTGTAATGCATATAAAGTGGAAATTACAATTTATTGTTTTTCAAAGAAAAATTGCTACAAAATATAAGAATATACAAAATGCAAATTTAAGGAAATAACTTTCATTACATATTTTTTTCAGGAATAGAAACGATATTTTTTTAAAGGAATAGAAACGAAACTGCATCTTAAAAAGCATAAAATATAAAAAATAATACAGTAATTATTAATAATTATTTTATCTATCTTTGTTAATTATTATTTTCTCTATCCTAGATTGTAACGAAATCTATCTAATATTTTTTACCAAAAACAATTTCTCTAAACAATTCAATTTAATAGATAAAAAAAATTTTTTTTCTTCGACTTAGAGCCACCTCTGTAATTCCGACCAGTCAATTACGGATCAGCCTTGGTGAATATAATCTAAAAGGACCGGAAGTTCCAGCATCGAAAGAAGAAAGAGTGGTGAACGCTATTCTACATCCTGGTCATAAGTGCGGAAAATACATGGACGATATCGCTCTTCTAGAACTTGCAAGGCCGATCATTTGGTCGGAGAGCGTGAAACCTGCCTGTTTACCTGTGGCCACAGGAAAACCAGGGTATAGTGCTTTCAACGGAGAACTCGCCAAGGCCGCTGGATGGGGATGGTTCGGCGAAGACAGATCCAAATGTAAGTAAATAATTCCATTTCATCCCCCACATCTTTCCTTTTACTTGGTAATTCGCTTGATAAGAGTCCAAGAGATCAAGAGTTATTGACATTAATTACTTGATGTTTTATCGAATTAATAGGACGATCGTAACTTGGCTAGAAAATTGCTATTAATTCTACTACCAGAATATTTTGAAACAAATTTTAAAGCAAATAATTTATTGATGCATTAAATACACAAATAATAAAAACAAAAAAAAAATTTGTTATCACAATCAATTGACTTGTGATAATGATATTGTAAAGAATATATAAGTTATATTGAAAAATTTTCTACTAGAATTCTATTAAATTCTATTAATTTTTATTATTCTGATAAAAACTTCTATTTACAATCCTGAATTAAAGAAATTAAATAAACAATAAAATCAGATTAAACTTCGAGCAAAAACTATTTATAAATTTTTACTCAATTTGAACGCATTAACAATAATTCATATTTCAAAAAACAAAAAGTTTTTTGAATGAGAAGAATATATCATCAATGATATTTTCATTGATATTAAATTTTTTGGGATATAGAAAATAGATACATAAATATAATTTATTTCAATTTTTTGTCTTATATTTAACATCACCTATATAATATATTATGAGATAAATTACAACGGATTATCTTTTAATAAAGTTTAATTTTAGTAATTTAATTAATTTATTTAATTATTTATTTTATTTAATAATTTATTTAATTATTTAAATTTAATAATTTAATTTTTAATTTTTAATTTTAACATAATAAAATTATCAAGAAAATTATTATAATTATTATTAAATTTTATTTCCTTATTATTAAATAATCTATTGAAATAAGATTTTATTATATATATATATTATATATATATAATATATATATATTATATATATATAATATATTATATATATATATTAATTTTGATTCATGTTGATCAAAAAAATTTCCTACTCTGATTATAATCATTATAATCATTTCTAATATATAATTTCTGTATGATTCTATAAAATTTTAAAATATGCATTTTTTTTTAAAATAATATATAATAATATCTATATAATATCTATATAAGATAATAATATCTCATAATATATTCTTTCTTATCTATAAATATATATATATATATATATGAATCGATCTAAATACAATATTGCGATCAATATTTCATATATGTAATTTCTTTTTTAACAAATAGTTGAAATAATGATTAAAATAATAAATAATTAATTTTATATTATCCCAAATATTATTTATAAAAAAAACTATAAATCAAAAAATTATAACTTATTTCTTCCTCTCAAAATTGATAATTATGTTCAAGATTAAAATTTATTTAAAATAATTACTTTATTATTAAATGTTTTTATTTTATTTTTATAGATAAACGAGCAGATGTATTACAAAAAGTGGAAGTTCGCGTGATCGAGAACAATATATGTCGTGAATGGTATGCCAGTCAAGGAAAGTCAACCCGTGTAGAATCAAAGCAAATGTGTGCCGGCCACGAAGAAGGTGGTCGCGATTCTTGTTGGGTAAGTAAAATCTTCTCGTATCGTTTATCTAATTTATTTATACGTTTTACAAATATTTTTGTTTCTTTTTCTATCGATCTTCTTTTCATTCATGCGAACTAGTTCGACAGAGTACATTCATTCGCATACAAAATTCATGCTCTATTGAACAACAATATGAATTTCAATAAATATCCGATTGCTTTGATGAGTATATTGAATTAACAACCAGAAATTGAATTTTAGTCTTCAAACCGAATTATTCGATCACAAAACATTCAATATAATGGTAAAAAAATGATGAAGGATTAAAAATTCATCAAAAAATATATTGATATTGCGGTTTGGTATAATGTAATTATTATAATTAGCAATTGTGGAATATTTCACTATTTCCAATTCAATATATTTTATCGCGAATTTATGATTCTGTTCTTGAATCACTTGATGACTATCTTCTATTTTGAACAATTTTGCATTGTGTATAATATGTGATATATGTATAATATATATATAATATAAAATAAAATATTATATATAAATATATATATATATAATATTATATATATTTAGATATATTAAGATATTAATATATTTTATAAAAAATAAATTTGATGAAAATGATTAAATTGAAAAAATATAAGTAATATCAATTGTAATTTGTCTTTTATAAAAATTTTATAAAAATATCAAAATAATTGCATATCTGGTATTTTTCTTTAGGGTGATAGTGGTGGACCGCTGATGATCGCAAGTCATCTTAATGGTAATGTAATGGTTGTAGGAATAGTTTCATCCGGAGTAGGATGTGCACGGCCACGACTTCCGGGCGTATATACTCGAGTTTCAGAATATATATCTTGGATTACGCAACATATCTTATGATGAAGTAAAATCTAAAATTTCATTTACTTATATTTCATTTACTTTAATACTTTACTTTTTAGAAGCTTCACTTCACTTTACAAAATTTGAATCTATATAGACTTCGAAAAAATTTTTTCTTTAAATATTTAAAAACTCATAAAAAAAAAGAATTATAGGTCTAATGAAGAATTCTTTTTTTGTTTTTTTTTTTTTTTTTGTGAAAAATTTTAAAAATCAATTAAATTCCAATATATGTTTCAATTAATAATAAATTATAACTTAATACTATTGCAATAAAAAGTTTGCTAATTAAATTAAGCAAGATAATCACAGTAAAGTATAAGTAATTTATAATTAATTAAATTAAGCAAGATAATCACAGTAAAGTATAAGTAATTTATAAAATTTCTTTTTATCTAGTCAGTATTTTCTACTATTATATATGCTATATATATGCTATATTTTTATACTATATGCTTTATGTTATATATGCTACAGTACAAAATGTATATACATATTTATGTTGTTACATATTTTATCATAAACTAATTATAAGATAAACTATTATAATTTAATAATATAATTAATATATAATTATATAAAAAAAAATATATTTTACATATAATATAAATTAAACTATTGAATATATCATATATTTTTATTACTTATATTCTTTTTTGTTTTCTTGGTCTTGGAGGATTCCATGATACTCTAGTATCATCTGTGATAGAAACAATATTTAATTCTGTTAGCTGCAAACCTTTTATAGCACCCTAAATAAATATAAAAATAATCATTAAATGCATATTTATGTGTATGTATATATATATATTTAAAAATTTGATTTATATATTATTTTTTAATATCTACCATTCTGCCAGGTCCAATACCTTGTATTCTTAATTTGACTGTTTTGATACCATGATTAAGAATACGCTAAAATAATATAAACAAATAATATAACAATTTATAAAAATTTTGAATAAATATGTATTAAAAAATTTTCTTACTGTTCCAAATGTAATTGCAGCTTGTTGTGCCGCAATATTAGTACCTTTCTTTGTATTTTTAAAACCTTCAAGTCCAGCAGAATGTAACATCATTCCTAATCCTATAAAAATATTGCAAAGAATAAAAGAATCTTCATAATCATCAAATAATATTAATAAAACCATTATATATTTTTATATTAATAATTACCTTTAAAATCAGTAAGAGACATTATTGTATTATTAGGAGATGATTTTATATTAATAATATGTAATTGATCATATTGTATACCATCAAAAAATTGATATGGTGTAGAAGCATCAGGAAATAATGATTTTCTAAAATCAACATTGTGTAAATAATCTAATAATATAATAATAAATATCTAATAATATAATAATAATAATAATCTAATAATATAACTATCTATAATAAAACAATAAATACCAGTAATAATATAAATCAATGCTATATTTGATATTTTGAATAAAATGTATATTATATATTATAAATCAAAATTAAATACTTACGACTTATTTATATCAATAAGATCAATTGTTTTTTCTCCTTCCATAACTATTTTTTTTGTTTTTGCATCAGCTCTTACTTTGGAAAATCCACTTCGAAATTCTTTCATAATATTTGAGGTTAAATGAATATCTCGAACATTCATGAATTTCAAACATGGTAAAATAATAAATTTTTCATTAAATAAAATCACATTTTTTGTTAAAGAATGTGTTACGGATTGTAAAATGAATGAAATCATTTTTTTGTATAAAATATGTAGTATATACAAAATATATTATCTATTTAAAAAAATTAAAAAAAAATTAGGAATAATATCCAAATTATTGAAATAGCATATTAGTGCATTTTGCAGTTAATTTTACAAATATAATCTCTTAAAACTAAACTAAATCACACAAATTTATTTTAGATATAAAATACAAGACATGAAAATAAATTGGACAACAAATGATGAAAATGATATACGAATAAGAGAACCGTTCGTATCACTCATTCGTCATTAATCGTTTCTATCCGATCTTATTTTTATTTCTAGATATAATATTTTCCATCAATATGTGTTTATTTTTACAAACATATTTTATCAATCTGTTGAAATCAACTAAACAAGTTTCTTATTTCTTTCGACCATCAATTTATTAGCAATATTAATTCTTATATTCATATAATTTCAGTTTTAATAGTCTGATAGTTTCGTATCTATAATATAACAAGTACACGGTTTTAAAATTCAAATGTTTTTATACAATCGTTAATAGGAAAATCATTGTTCATTTTATATTATTGTTGTAAAATGATCGAAATATTTAATATTTAAGATATTTTCTTTATAACATTATTACTGCAATTAATATTATCTATAATATTTTATATAAAATAGTTAATTTTACATTAATGTAATGGCCATAAGTGCGTCTTTTTATCGTAATGTATTCTTATTAACTCAAGTAATTCAACCTAATAATGAGTTCAAAAAATATTTTCGTGAGGTATATTTTTTTACTAAATATTAAATAAAATATTAAATACGTTTGAAATATGTTTAAACATATTATATTACTTTTTGTAATTTTTGCATTGATTAAATAATATTCTAATTTTTAGGGTATGTTTGACAAACCTAATACAGCAGGTTTCCTACATATTTCATATTATTTATTAACAGTATATGATTCAGAACGTTTTAAAAAGCTGATTGAATGGCCTGTAATTTGCAAGAAAACTGAAGCAAAGTATCGTAATAATGTTAAGGATTATTTAACAATAATATCTGCAGAAAATCCTGATATTGATTTTCCACCTATACTCACCTCTCACTTAATTCATGCAGGTGGAACTAAATTTACAATTATTATGTGGAAATTATCAGAAGTAGTTATAAGAAGATACCTTATAAGGGAAAGTAAGATTATTATTTATAAGTATATTATTTATTTATATATATATATACATATATATATATATATAATAGAAATTACATTCATAATATATTTATCATTATTTATCATTATCATAAAATTGATTTAAATTGTATTATTATATATTTACTATAAATTTCTTATATTTATATAAATATTTTGTTTTTTTACTAAAAAATTTTATTTTTTATAGCTAGTAATAATATTGCATTTGCACCACGAATAGGAAATAAAGGAAATCTAGCAAAAAAATTTTTAGAAGAAACCAATGCTAAGATTAATTTTAATATATTGAATCAACATAAAAATTTATTAGAAATGGAGAATACAATTAAATATGTTTTGCAGTAATATTTATTTTCTTTTTATTTATATATATAATTAAAAATTCTTTTTCAATTAAAATATTAATTATATTACTTTATTTTTTAGAAAAGAAAATGAAAGACTAAATAAAAGTAGAGCAGAAATTTTTGAAAAAGAGCAATTAATAGCAAATCTTTCACAAACAGCACCAGTACATCCTTCAATTAAAAAATGTTTAAGAGATATAGATAATGAAGAAGCAACAAAAAGTTGGTGTCATATTTATTATACTTAATGTTATATATTTATTTATAATTAGTATTATTTGTAATTTTAGTCATCAAAATAATAATTTATTAATTTTAGAATGGAAAATGCATATAAATAAATGCATAAATCATATACAAAAGAGAAATATAATTTTGAAAGATATTGAACAGCTTGGTCATAAAGTTAATAATATAATATTAAGTAATACTAGCGATATTAAAATGTTAAATACAAAACAAAAAATAAATCATTTGGAAATTTCAGAATTATTTTCTCCAGATATGCAAGTAAGTATTATAATGTATATGTTATTATATATATTAATGAGAAGTAATAAAAATAAAAATTTTATATTTCAGTGTGTTTTGTTTCGATTATATAAAGATGATAAATTAATATTAAATAATTTTATTTTATTATTTCATTTTCTTCTAACTCAACTAAAAAAACAATTAAAATTGAATATATTAGAGGATTTTTCAGAATATTCATTACAAATAGAAGGTAATTGTAAAGATATAAAAGCTGCATTCAATATAATGCAAACACATTTAATAGATATCACAAAAATAATGTTAGAAACACAAGATATTTTATATCAAAAAAAAATACATGTTCATAATGATACTATATTACCTATGATGCATAATGTACTTATTATGTCATCTCCTCTTATTAAAATTAATACAAACTGTAATGATGAAGAAAATAATTTTCAAAAAAGATTACAATTAACTCCAGTAGAAGGTAAGATTAATGCTATTTAAAATTGCTATATATATAATATATTCAAAAATATTTTTTAGCTCCACATAAATCATTATTTTCAAGATATGAACATCTAAAACAAAGTCATGTATCACATGGATCAAAATTAAGAGAAAATTTATTAGTATCACGAATCAATTTTGATGATGTAATTGTAAATGTAAATAATGATAATAATGATAAGCCATCTTTACATATGCATATGGTATCGTCTAAAAAAAATTTATCATCTTTCAAACAAGCAGAAAAATATTCAAGATTATTTTCTACTCGTATAAAACGAAATACAATAGGTATGTAATCAATATTTTAATTTTTTTTAAAATTGAAAACTTCTCTTTTTTTTCACAGCAACAGTAGCAAATGCAAGTATAATGTCTTTATCTTGTTCTTCAAAAGCAAATTCGACCACAAATGTAATTGAAGAAGTACATGATATATCAGATCTTAATTTAAATAAAACAGAAGTTATTTCAACAAAAAGTATCTGTAATATAAAGGTAGAATTTGCTACTCCAGAAAAATTGACTGTTGAACAAGAAAAATCAGAAGATATACTAAAAATGGAAGATATGATAAATGATTTCTCAAATAAAGCTAATGCACATAATATATACAAAACAATAGAAATTAAAGGTGATGATAATAATATCATTGTAACTGACCAAACTAAACAAAATAGACGTTCTATTGGGGATCTAGTTGAACGTTATAAAAAATTACTGAAAGTAAGCAATCGTATACCAAGTCCTAATATTAATAATACAAAATGTGATAATAAATAGTTGTAAAAATTAAAAACTATTGTAGAATTATATTGTAGAATTGGCTATTTACCAATATGTATGTAAAGAAATACATTTTTATAGTTTATTTAAAACAAAATTTAATTATTTTTTTATCTTACTAAATTTTTAAAAAATATGTATAATTTATTAAAAAATTAAGTTAAAAAAAAGAAAATTGTAATAATTTATTATAGTGATACATTTCATAATCATTAACATTTATGTTAAAAAAAAATATTTGTATTTATTTTTTAATTAAATTATAATATAATTTAAATTAAAAAATTAACCTTTTAAAAAAATATATAACATTATATATATATGCATGAAAGAACAGATCATTCGCATAAGATTTATATTTTGAATTGATTTTAAAATTTATTATATGCACAATATTTATATTTACATAATTAAAATGTAATTTTTTAAATAATATTATCTATAATATTTTATCATTATTATACGTATATATATATATTATATTTTTATTTATATAAGCCATTTTTATATTTTATTATGACAATATTATATTTATAATACAATAATTTCTTAAACTATATAAAATAAATGATATTTTGCGTAAGTAAAAAAAATTATTTAAAAAGTGCAATATTACATAATTATTACATATATCATAATAATTTTAATATGTTCATAGAAATTCACCAAAATATATTGCCGGTAGTAGAATATGTATATGTTGTATTTGTATTTTAATTTAAGGTTATACTACTTAACAAAGTGTTATGTTCAAATGAAATAAAAATTCCAATTAAATATTAGTATATTTAATTATGGAAAATAATCATTGAATTGATAAAATTTTAATAAACTAAACATTATGAAACTAGTAAAACCTAATTGGGTTACTCACGATGGTTTGTATAAAATGTATTATTTAAATTTATCTAATGTTTATAATTGTATTTTCATATTATAAAATTTTTATTTTTTAGGATATTCAATCTTTTCCGTGGATATACATCCAGATGGGAAAAGATTTGCTACTGGTGGTCAAGGTATAATATTAATTCCTTTAATTTATTTATTTATTGTCAATTTTTTTATAAAAATACATTAATTTTGTTATTTTATATATTTATATATATTTATATAGTTTTTGATTTATATTTGCTATTATTAATAATTATAGGTGGTGATTCTGGTAGAGTTGTTATATGGAATATGGAACCAGTAGTTAATGAAATTGCAGAATTAGATGAAAATATTCCAAAAATGTTATGTCAATTAGATAACCATCTTGGTATGATACATGATAAAATTTAGTATGTTTTCTAAAATATATTATATTGATAAACTAAATAATATATAATATAATATAAAATTTATAGCTTGTGTCAATTGTGTGAGATGGAGTAATACTGGATTATTAGCATCAGGTGGTGTAGATAAATTAATTATGATCTGGAGATTGTCAGGTGGATCAGGTGGAAGTTCAATATTTGGTGGAAAATCCAGTATTGAAACATGGCGTTGCATAGCTACATTACGTTCACATGAAGCTGATGTACTTGATCTTGCATGGGCACCACATAGTCCATGGTTAGCTTCTGCATCAGTAGATAACAGTGTAATCGTATGGGATGCATCAAAATTTCCAGCTATTGTAGCTGTTTTAAAAGGTCATACTGGATTTGTAAAAGGAATTACATGGGATCCAGTAGGAAAATATTTAGCATCTCAATCTGATGATAAAACATTAAGAGTATGGCGTACTACAGATTGGACAGAAGCTGCACTAATATCAGAACCATTTGATGAATGTGGTGGAACAACTCATGTTTTAAGACTTTCTTGGAGTCCAGATGGACAATATTTAGTATCAGCTCATGCGATGAATGGTGGAGGTCCAACAGCACAAATAATTGAAAGAGATGGATGGACACAAGATAAAGATTTTGTTGGTCATCGTAAAGCTGTCACATGTGTGGTATATATTTAATCTAAAAACAGTAAATTTTATAATTTATATATTTAAAATTATTAAATATTTAATTCATTAATTCTTTATATTTTGCAGAGATTTAATGGTAATATTTTACAAAAGAAGCAACCTGGTTCTTCTAAACCACAACAGTATTGTTGCGTCGCTATAGGATCACGTGATCGTTCTTTATCTGTATGGTTAACATCTCTGAAACGGCCTTTAGTTGTAATTCATGAATTATTTACACACTCAGTCTTAGATGCTAGTTGGTCACCATGTGGTCTTCGATTAGCTGCTTGTTCTTGGGATGGATCTGTTGTACTTATTGAATTTACACAACAAGAATTAGGTCAACCATTAGATCCTGCTGAACAAGTATTATACATAAAATTATACAAAATATTTTAATAACAAATTGTATATTTATTATTAGTATATAATTATTTTTATTTTATTATAGAGTAGTCTTCATGAGCGTTTATATGGTAAACCATTAGTTCAAGGTGGTTGCACAGTAATGGAAGCACCTGAACTTCTTAATCTAAAAACATCGGTATCGTCGACACAAACTACAACACTTTTAAATACAAATTTAGTACATCCACCCACTAGTACTGCAACTACTCCTGCCAAAGGTCCAATTAATAAGCAAATTGAAACAAGAACATCAGATGGTAAAAGACGAATAACACCAATGTTTATACCACCACCATCTGATACAATGTAAGTTAGAGATTTTATTTTTACAATATTATAATTTCTTGTATGTATTTTTTTATTAAATTAATTATTTTTAATTAGGGATTCTTCAAGTAATAGATTAAGAACACCAACATTTACAAGTCAAGTAAAAAGTTCTATTGTTATTGAAAAACGAAATGATGTTGTGACACCCAATGTTACTTCTTCTGTACATTCAACGAATATAAATAGCCAAACTTCTGCACTTACATTGAAACGTCGTGATCAGTCCACACCAAAATCATATCATACTTCATTTAACAAAAAACCAAAAATTACATCTGAAAGAAATACAAATCAAATTATACTGCCTCCATTAAAACCGTCCAGTTCATTATCTCAACAAGCTGGTCATTATGCAGTAACTGTTACTAATAGCCAAGGTTTAGCTCATTTACAAGTATTTAAAGGCACAGATTCTGAACCAACTTGGGATTTGTATTTGGGATATAGTGCTGTAGCACTTGCAGCATCGCCGGCAGTTATAGCACTCGGATTAGAAGATGGTAGTCTGCATACATTTCATCCTATAAAAGGATGTCGTCCAGCACCACCTTTAGCGCCACCTGCACCACTTGCAAAAGTTCATGCAGTTGGAAATGCAGTATTAATTTTTTAATTATTATTTTTATTTTTTTAATTTAAAGATAATTATTATTCAAAATGTATCAACATTTTTAGGTAATGGTTATATCAAGTTGTGGTGCTGTACGTGTTTGGGAAATAGGATATTCATGTAGAATGATAGTTTCTACATCTGCTGCACATTTAGCAGTACCTGGTACTTCTTTATTGTCCTGTACTTTATATAATGGGATGCCGCATTTAGCTTTCACTAATGCTAGGGCATATATATATCATAAAGAAATGGGTATATAAATTATATTATTAATAAAATCATATATTTTCATACATTATATATAATATATTTATAAAAAAATATTAGGTACATGGTTATTAATCGGCGATAGTCAAGATCCTATATGGCGTTGGGCTTCATTTAATGCATCAAGTGCATCGGGAAACAGAGCTCCCAAAGGTCCATTATCTTCCTTACAAGAAGGACTATTTAGAACAGCAGGAAATACTTTCCCTAATCCGAGATTACCACATAGTGCTCCAAGCGTAGTATCTTATTTAGAACAACAATTACTTGCTTCTAAGGCTCTTGGAAGTGCTCAAGAATATATGCATTGGCTCATGGCTTTAGTATCATTTTTATTAACTCAAGGTATAGATATAATAGATATAGATATATTTTTAATTTTATCTTCATATTTTATAAAATAACATTTTTTTAGATGGATTGGAAAAACGTTTGAGATTAATCCTAGATGAATTTTTGGGTCCAAGTCATACATCAGCTTCTAAAAGTATATGGGATCCTTTAATTTTGGTATTATTTTAGTATTTATTCTATTAATATATTATTATTAATTATATAAATATAATATCAATATTTTTCTATTCATTATATAGGGAATTAAAAAACATAAACTTTTGGAAGATATATTATCTATTATTGGAGGACATCTTCGTTGGCAAAGATTGTATCTTGAATACATGGAACAATTAACAGCGCTAAAAAACCAAATTAATTAAAAACAATTATTAAAAATATATATTTAAAATAATATATAAAACATAATGTGATTATTATATGTTCTAAAACGGTGTTAGAAAACTTGAGAACATAATTATATTTATAATAAAAAAAATTATGATGGTAAGTTCATAAATTTCTTACTTCAAATTAAATAACAATTAAATAATATAATCATTTCCGATTTTAATAATAATAACATAAGTATATAAGTAAATAGCGATTCGATTTCATATCTCATCATTTTTTATTATCATTTTAATTTAAATATTACAATACATTACTACAAATAAGTATACAAATATATATATACAAATAAGTATATTTTTAAAGCAAGAAATTTATGAATTCATAATTATAAAAACTGCCTTATTTATTTTAAATTTTGAAATCGCGCTCAGGTTTTCAAGTGCCCTTTTAGGATTAACATTTATATTTCTTGTATATTTTTAAAAGTAATCTTTATAAAACAAAAATATTGTACAGTTTTTTTTATATCGTACACAATGTGATGATGAAAATACGTATATAATAATAATAGTGAGATTTTATATTAAACAAATGATCTTTTTTTATTTTGAAGCTTAATAACATTTATTATTAAGCAAAAATTTAAGTACTTGTTTTTACTAGAAAAATTTCTAATATTTATACGTAATATTATGTATAAGAGTAAAAAGATACAAGATATTAGTTGATTAGAAATTTTAACAATTTTATATCAACTTTATACAATACATTTTAAACAAATCAAGAATCAGACAATATATATAACGATTATTAAATTTTAATATTAACATGAAAATATTTTCCTTATTTAGATTATAATTATATTTGTTCATAAAAAATATTTATACTAATATAATATAACATTCAAAAATATAATACAATAAAGAAATTATTTGATGTATTTCATAATTTGAATACATGCTACTTCACAAACTTATTAATTTTTTTAATAAAATTATAATTCAAAATATATATAAATATATATAAAAATTATAATGTAATGAATATAAATAAATACTAGAAAATTCTTTCTTATATAAAATTAATAATAAAATTATAAAATTTATGAAATACATCAAATTAAATATGTATAATATTATATATAATATATTATATATAATATTATATATAATAATAAAAACTATTACTTATGTTAAATGCAATTGTTTTATATATTGTTTTAATATATTTTTTTAATAATTATATAATATAAAAATGTATTATATATTTATCATCAATATTTTCATATGTATATAACAGATAAAAATAATATTTACATGAATAATAAATTATACTATTCACATATTGTATATAAAACATAAGACATTTAAAACATTGAAAAAAATGATATGCAACTATCGATTAATAAATTATATTAAATTTATATTTTTTTTATGTATTATATATTAAATTTGCATCAAGATATTTATATTATTCAATATATATTAAATAACATAATACAAAATATAAATTAAATACAGAATATATTATCTGTTTGCAAAACATTTTGTATAAAAATAATCATTTTAAAAATTTCTAAAAATAATACAAATATTTTCATATAATGATTACATTTTTCGATATAAAAACATATAGAAATATATATAATATAAAAATTCTAGACATAAATATAATATATATAATATAATTCTAGATAAAAATATTATATTTATATGATGAAATTTTCAATTATTTATTTGTCTTTCAATTGACATTGTAATTAAGAAAATAAAGATGCTCAATATAACTTCAGATGAAAATATGTTAAATATGCATAAATTAATTTTATGTTTATATTAAGGCATTTACATTTTAAGGCATTTAGGATTAGGCTCAAAATATTTAAATAATTATAAAACAATAATACAAAATATAATAATATATAAAAATAAAATCAATTTTCTTTAAAAAATTGAAATATTCACTAAATTATAAAAAAATAACACAATAAATAAAATATATTCTGACATATATATATATATATATATATATATATATGATATAATATATAAATGTAGTTCCAAAAATTACATTGAATATAAAATTGTATAAATAATATAAAAATATGTTAACTATTTTAATTAAAACAGAATATTTATTGAATTTAGAAAATTACTTAGAAATTTTTATATTTTAGAAAAAAAATTTTTTTTATAAAATATAAAAACTTCTAAATAAAAAAATTATTATTAACTAAAAAATTATTAAAAACTAAAAAATTTTATCTTATTTGATGCATATGTGTACTTCTAACTATCTATAATTATTGTCAGAACAAATTAATTAATATGTAGCAATCAATAAGAATCTAATTTTAAAAATAAAATAAAAAAAAAATTTCTCATAAAATAATTACATTTCATTTATAAAAAATTATCACATATTTCAAATTATAAAATTATTAAAAATAAAAAATATTATAATTCAACATTATGTTTAAAAAACTTAAATAATACTATTATTATATATATAATTATTATTTTTACTTCTATTCTATTCTAATTAATATTTTAAAAACATTAGTATGATACAAAAATGTTTTTATAATTTATAATCATTATCTATGTATTGAGCTAATGCAATTATTTTAATTTTAAATAACTTTTAAATCTTTTATATCTTTAATGATCGTCCCTCATTTAAAAAAAAAAATTACAATATATAATAAATTAAATATTCATATTAAGAAATATATACAAATAAATATAAGTTTAAAATCAAGACTATTATGTATTAAATTAAATCATATGTAACATATACTTTCAACAATACATATATCAATAACACATATCTTCAATTCAATAATGAATTCTAATTAGTATTTAATACAAGGCAGACTATAAAATATATTAATTATATCTTTCATTGTAATAATATTCAGTATATTAACAATTGTGATACTATTATTATTAATATAATTAATGAATTTTAAATAAGTCTATGCTAAATAATTCATGTATATGTACATATATATATATATATATTTTATAATTATATAGAATGTTAATTATATTTATGGGAAAATCAGTTTGGAAAATCAATTTTAGAGACAAACTCTCAAAATAAACAAATTCAAAAATTAATATAAGAATGTTGGTTAAGTATTGTTTATTAAATTATAATTATTTAAGTTTGTGTTAGATAAAATAAGATAAAAGTATAAAATAATAAAATAAGATAGTAAATAAAATCATTCTATATGTATTACATTATTGCTTTATCTAATGCAACTTAAATTACTTATAATTTAATAAATGAATTTCAATCAAGATTTCTATATAACAATTTTTATGTTTGTTTTAGTCTCTAAAATCAATTTTCTAAAAGTATCTCATAAATTAATAACATTCTATATATATATATATATTTTATATATATAAATCAAATTTTATTAAGCTTTATTAATATTATGATCTTTCATAATACTGCAGTTTATAATTTTAATTATTATATTATTTTTTCAATATAAAGACCTACTATATTGAACAATCTAATCACTGTCGATTGTAATAGATTCTTTTAATTCTGATTCATCAACATAATGATTCTTTGAATTTCTTTCTTCTGCAGACTTTACACACTACAACAATTTATTAATGAATTTATTTAAATTATTATTAATTATTGTATTCAAAATTATAATTACTATTTTATCAAATATATTTTCTCTCTAAAATTTTGTAAAAAATTACAGAAAAACTTACGTCTTCAATTCTTATACGAGGTGATGCAATTTGTTCAGGAAAATGCCAAGGTTTATAATTTGGATTATTAACTAATTTCCAATTAGGATAAGCTACAGAAGCTTTATGTAACTTTTTAACCATCTAAAATAAAAAATATAGTTTAAAAATTTAACATAAATAAACATAAAAGTATATACCTTTGGAGCAAATATTTGTGTAATTTTATTAACAAGCCAAACTGGTAATTTTCCATGTGGATCAGTATGAGATACATAACCCAATTCAGAACCATCACCATTTCGAGATGGTCTTACAATATATCCTTAAATTAAAGAATTTAATAATGAAATAATATAAATACATATAGATAAATAATGAAATTTATATTTCAAATTTTACCTGTAAGATAAGATGTTGCCCGAACAAATTGTTTCCGTGGAGGATAATCTTTATGAAAAACAGAATGATTCAAAATTAATTGCTCTATACCAGTATCAAGCCATGACCTTTGTAGAATAAAATCTCTGTTTTTCAATGGAGATGGACAGGCCACTAATTAATATATATATATATATATATATATACATATTATTTTTATATAAATAATTATAATCTTTTTATATAAACAAATAGAATTAATCAATAGTATTAAATACTTGCTTGAATAATAACCAATATCATTATTTGGATTAAAAAAACCTATGTCTTTTGATTCAATCATATGAGTATCCCAAACCTTTCGATATTCAGGATCATGTAATACATCATATAATGTTTCTGGAAGAACATCAGGAAAACGAGTTCTAATCTGTAAAATATTTAAATAAATAAAATTATAAATAATTTTAAAAGAATTACAAAGAATAACAGCAAATTAAAAAATTAATTAAAAAATACCTACTTTTACCATTCTAAAACTAATTCCTGATACAGATTTTGTCCAAACTGATAAATCAGGTTTATTATAATCTAATCTCCAATCATTATTATTATCATACAATTGTTTCAATTTCTCAAAATCTTTATCTTCAGCAATTTTAACAATTCCAATATCCATTTTATAAAAATATTGTCTATGAAACAATCGATATAATTAATATATAAATATATAATTTTTAAAATAAATACAATGACATAAATTTTTAAATGAATTTTATGAATTACTATTATCATAATTTGATAAAAAGTTAAAAATGAAAATACCTGTTATTCATAGAGTTTTTAGAAGTTTAATAAAAAATCTATGCATGTTCAGATCTGGTATATAATAGGCTTTACATTTATGCCAGAATAATCTTTTAGCAGTCCTAATCATTGTTTTGATTTCCAAAGGTAAAAATTAAATATATTATACTTGAATTTCATTCATACTAAAAGAAAAAAGTAAAAATATGCTAATTTTGGGTGAATTAATATAATGAATTGAAATACAACCTTTTGTCTAATAGAATACATTTTTAATTCTGTCACTATTAATCACTCATTATTGAATCATTAATAGTTGATAGTTAATAGTATAATATTATAATATAATATTATAAATAATAACAGTAGTATAAAGTTATAAGTAAGAATGATAATATAAATAAAAACAAAAATTTAAATAATTCGTATAATATTTTGTATATTTTCCTGAAATTAAAGACAAATAATCTGGATAATAATTTTCTACCCTCGTATAAGTATACATACCTCATGTATATTAAACTGATCACTATTTACAACATAAGAATATTTTAAAAAATTAAAAATAACTTATTTTATATATTTAATTTATAAATCAACACAAATTGTGTATAAAAAAATATTTATAAAATTAAATTTTAATCCATATAATAAAATCTGCACTGAAAGGATCTACTGACTTATGTCTTGTTACCGGTGTGATATATATTATTAACAGGTTAGTCGGTATTTAACACATCAATGAGATTATCTTTATATTTACGTTTTCTAAGTTTTTATTACATTAAAATATCATTTAATTTTTTTATTTAAAGAATATTTTATTTTATTCGTAAGTATCTTAATTTTTAAATAGATATTGTTGAATTTATTATTATATTTTACATATAGTTTTCTTTATATTTGATAAATACATGTCGATATATATATCTTTTTAAAGTTTAATATAATATTAATAATAATTTTTTATATATATTCGTAAATCATCTAATTAAATCTTAAGTTAAAAAAAAAAATTTTTTTAATTTAATAATCACAATAGAAAAATATATAAAATATAATTAATTTTAATAACTAAAATTAATTGTTTTTAATTAATTAATTAATTTCTAATTAATTATTACTTATTTGTCCTGTATTCATAATATAAAAATATTTTTTTTTATACAATACAAATTTATTTTTTTATTATTCATCAATAATATTTTTAAATATAATTAATTTCAATAATATTATTAAATATTTATTCATAATTGCATTTTATATTTTAGGTTATTGCTGAAAAATATTTAAGATGGCTTTAAAAATTTCTGTTAATACTGGAAATATTGATTTGGATAATAAAATCAATGAATGGTTGAAATGGAACAAGGTTTTTAATATAATATTTTGAATATAATTTAATATATATATTATATTTCAAATAGATATGTTAATTATGAAAATATGTTTAATTTATTATGTTTAATAATTTTTTAGGATGTAATTCATGAACATAAAATTCAAGAACTCATCCTTAATAATAATAATAAAGTATTATCTTCCTTATTCTTAAAAAGACTTGAATTTGGTACAGCTGGTTTAAGAGGTCGTATGGGTCCAGGATATAATCAAATAAATGATTTAGTTATAATTCAAACTGGTCAAGGCTTATCAATGTATTTACTTGATACTATAGTTGATGCAACTGAAAAAGGTATCATAATAGGATATGATGGACGTCATTGCAGTAAAAGGTAAAATTATTTAATTTATAATTTCTAATCGTTATAAATTTCATATAATAATTATTGTATATATATTATATATATTTGAATATTATTAATGTTAAATAAAATATTTACAATATTATTTTAGATTTGCAGAATTAACTGCTGCAATTTTCATGGCAAAAAATATAAAAGTCTATCTTTTTTCAAAAGTTGTACCAACTCCATTTATACCTTATAGTATATTAAAATATAAATGTGCTGCTGGAATAATGATTACAGCATCTCATAATCCTAAAAATGATAATGGTTATAAAGTTTATTGGGAGAATGGTGCACAAATAATATCACCACATGATAAAGAAATCCAAAAATATATATTTAATCATTTGGAACCAATGGAATCTTCATGGAATATAACAAAAATTTATGAAAATTCTTTATATCTAAATCCATGGGACAATGTTATGCAATCTTATTTTAATGATCTCAAAGAAACTGTTTTATATCCAGAAGTAAATAAAAATACAATATTAAAATTTACTTACACTCCTATGCATGGAGTTGGATATCAATACATGACTGCAGCTTTTAATGCTGCAAATTTTAAGGTATTATTATAACTTTTTTTATACTTATTATATATAAATTTATTTTAAATAAGATTTATTATATAAACTTTTATAATTCAGCTTTAGTCAAATTATTAATAAACATGTTAATAAACATATTAAACAAACATTAATAAACATAAATAAATTAAACAAAACATTAAAAAAGTTTTTATATTATTTTAATTATTTTATTTAATTTATATTTTTTTTCAATAGCTATTATTCATTACAGCCATTTATAATAGTGGAAGAACAAAAATTACCTGATCCAGAATTCCCAACTGTGAAATTTCCAAATCCTGAAGAAGGAAAAAGTACTCTAGATCTTAGCATACAAGTAGCAAATAAAAATTCTTCTTCTATTATTCTTGCCAATGATCCAGATGCAGATAGAGTAGCTTGTGCTACAAAAATGAAGAAGTATGATATTTTTCATTAATATTTATATAATTCTAGAATTTATTTATTATTTTTTATTATTTTAATAGTGATGAATGGTATATTTTTTCTGGTAATGAATTGGGAGCACTTTTGGGTTGGTGGATGATACATAAATATCAAGTACAACATACTGATACGGACTTTTCAAATGTATATATGTTGGCATCTACAGTTTCAAGTAAAATTTTAGCATCAATGGCTAAACAAGAAGGATTTAATTTTGAAGTATGTATGTTAAAAATAAAATTAAAATATTTGTTATTTTTATTATCATATACTTTCTTTTGTTTCAAAAGGAAACATTAACAGGTTTTAAATGGATGGGTAATAAAAGTATAGAATTAGAAAAAATGGGTAAAACAGTTCTATTTGCATATGAAGAAGCTATTGGATTTATGTGTGGTTCAAAAGTTTTTGATAAAGATGGCATAAGCGCTGGAATGCATATAGCAGAATTAGCTGCTTATCTTGAAACTATGGGATTAACTCTGCATGACAAGTTAAATGAAATATATAATCAGTATGTAATGTTTTAATTCTGTCATATTTTATATTAGAAATATTTATTAATATGAATGATAATATAATTATAATTTATAATTTTATAATTTTATATTTATTTATGACATGTATATATTTGATTTAGATATGGATATCATATATCTAAGAATTCATATTGTATATGTCATGAACCAAATATAATCAAGAAAATATTTGAAAGATTACGGACATATTTGGGAAAACCAAATACAGTAAGACAATACATATTTAAAATATTATTATTATATTACTTTAATTTTAAATATTTTTTAGTATCCAACAAATATTCTCAATGGAAAGTATCCCATAATAGGTATTCGTGATTTAACAACTGGTTATGACAATACAAAACCAGAAAACAAGGCCATTTTACCTATTTCAAAATCTAATCAAATGATAACATTTACATTTAAAAATGGTTTAGTTGTAACATTAAGAACTAGTGGTACTGAACCTAAAATTAAATATTACAGTGAATTATGTGCATCTCCCGAAGAACAGTAAGTTGTTTATATTTTTAATAATTTTAATATAAGTTTATTAATTTTTGAAGATTTTATAAAATTACATTACAGAGATATTGAAGTATTAAAAACTATTCTTGATGAAATGATATTAGCTGTTGTAATGGAATTTCTTCAACCTGAAATAAACAATCTTCTATGTCGTGATAAAGAAGAAAAGTAGTTAAAAAAAAAGAATCTTATAATTTAAATTTATTGTTTTACAAAATAATATTGTTATATTTTCTGATAACATATCATTACTTAAAAGTGTTAATATATTTGTGGATTATCTTTGAATCAAATATATAGAAGTCAAAATAAACATAAAAATTAATGTATATAAATAAACAAAAATTTCTATAGTTCTATTTCTTTCATCTAACATAAATTTTAATTGTTTATAATGTAGTAAGTAAGCTTCAATCAAGATTTTTATACAACAACTTTTGTATTAATTCTAATCTTTGGAATCAATTTTTCAAAGATGTTCCAAAATATATTAACATTCTGTATACAATTTAATTAACTTTATAATTTCTCATTATTTATTATAATCTTCAATGTATTTAATTTGACAATTTTTTTCTTCAAATAGAACACAGTTCATTATATCATATAAGAAAAAATATGAAGCAATAAGTTAATGATTGTTAAAAATTTTGTAAATTTTTACATAATTTTTTCAAAAAATATTTATATTAATAAATTAAGAAATTGAAAGAAATATATTATATATATATATGTACAGATTTATATTTCACTTTAATAATTTATATTAATTTCAATAACATGTTAACATATTTTTTTAATAATTTTATTTCTTTAATATACACTTCAATATATTTCAATCACATGTTCAAATTATACAGATAAATATGTATATATTTTCATTTAATAATATATTACTTTTATTCTTATTTCATTTTCTAAACATAAAATGTAATACACTGAAAAACGCAATTTTATTATATTAAAATGTTTTTAATATTTTATATTTTATTTAAAAAAAATAGAAAATTACCTGTTCATCTAAAAACTTCATGAGAGTATTCATTTTGCATTTGAAACCTTCTGCTTTTAACATAGAATATAAAGTATTAATACATATTGGTTCATACATTAAAATTTTATTATATAATTCTGTTTTAACAGAAAGAATTTTTAAAAACATATCTTTAATATTTGTATTATCAATTATTGAAATGAATTCAGATTCATCTAATTGTTTTTCTTTATCAATTATATTTAGTGATAATTGTTTATTTGTACTGTTAATATTATAAAACTTATATTAATTTATGAAAATATTTTAAAATAATAAACTCAATATTACGAATATGTAACATACTATTCTTGGGATAACCCTAATTGATAATCATAATTATCAATGCAATCAATATCTTTTCTATTATATATTTTTTTCATTGGAGGTTCATCATCTTCACTAGTACTTATTACCACTTTAGATTCTACACTCTTTGATGTACAAATTGTTGGATGTAATTCATCATAAATATATGTTAATAATTTTATAGCTCTTTTTCGTTTTTGTATTTTTAATCCATATTTATTTAATTCTGCCTAAAATAAAATTAATAAAGTAAAATAAATATTAAAAAGTAAATAAATAAGTAAATAAAGTATTAAAAATATAATTTATTATGTATAAAATAATTCTTAACTTACTTGAAGCTCAGTTGTTTTCATGTCATTATAATTAGGAGGAGGTGTAACACTATCTCTAATAATTTCATGTGTAGTTGTTTCTTTTTTATGATTACATGTGCAGACTTGAAAATTATTGTAAGATTTATTGTAAGTTATATTATTCTTAATATCTTTTGTATTAATATATAAACTTGTTTCTGATCTTGATTTCTTTTGAAATTTTCTATTACATTTTTTTGTAGTTAATAATGTTTTTCTGTTTTGGAATTGTTCTGGAAAAAAGTTATTAATTAGTTTATTATTTTAATTAATTATTGCAATAAATATCATTTTTTACCTAATTGATTTATTTCTTTGGTAAACAATGAAGTATTGATATTATCATCACTATTATCAATATAAACATTTGCTAAATAAACATCATTTTCAAAAATTTGGCTATTGTCTTTAGAATTTTCAGTATATGGAATATTTTTATTTTTCTTGCTTTTTTCATATGTATATATATTTAAATCTTCATCATCTAATTCAGAACTAGAAGATATTAATATAGAGGATTCAATTGAATTATATTTATTTATATTTGATTCTATTGACGAATTTTTTTCAATTGCTTGTAAATCTACATTATTTTCTTGATTTAATTTGAATTCTGAACTTTTATTAATATTTGATAGTGAAATATCATTATCTATATTATTCTTTTCTTCATATTTATCACATATTACATTGTTTTTTATATTATTTTTTAATAGAGATTCCTTTACAAAATTCCGATATTTTATTATACTATTATTTTCATGTTTTTCTTTGTATTTTGAATACATAGATATTTCATTTTCACTTGTATCAAAATCTGAAAATGTATTATTTTCATTTTTTAAATTTTCTGAACTTTTCATATTTTCTTGAATCTTTAATGAATCTTTAGATATGAAATATATTTTTTCATTTTCAAGATTACATATATTATTTATATTTTCATTCAATGAATTATTTTTATATTTTTCTATATTAGATTCTGATGAATTTATCACATTATCTACCAATTCATGATTAAAAAACATATTTGCATCATCTTTTTCATGTATTTTTATATCTACTTTTGAATTTTTATCATAATCTGATGTATCAATCAAAATATCTTTTTTTGCTTTATATTTTTTTTCTGTAATAGTGTTTATTTGAGATATACAATATTCAGAAGAATTATTCTGTCTTATATTAAATGGATTTCTACATATTTTGTAATTTGTTGATAATATTGAATCTTCAGAGTCTACATCAAGATCTGCATTTTCTCTTTGAATTTGTTCAATAAATAAACTAAGATTACTTTTCAATTTTTGTATATTACAATTATTATTATTTGGAGTACTAAAACACTGGATATTTGGCAATAAGTTTATATTTTCTTTAGTATTTTTAAACATTTCAGTATTTTCAGATGTAGAAGAATTGATAGTATTGATGAATAGTTGATTAACTGAATCAAATATACTAGAATTTTCATTATTTTTTATTTTCTCACTATCTATAATTTTATTAATATATCTTGCTTTTTTATTTTTTATTTTTTTAGTTTGTATTGTATCATCAAATAAATCAGGAGACATGTTAGAATTCTGAATTGCATTTGTATCATTTAAACAATTAACTATTTTTTTCGATAATTCATCTGTACACTTATCATTCTTTAATTTAATTTCAAATTTTGATTTATCTATAATGTATTTTTCTAAACATTTCTTATTTAATTTTTTATCATCATTAAATTTGTGATCTTTAATTTCATTGATTAAATTTAATATTTCATCATTAGTTAATTTTAAATTATCTTTTTTCTTAGAAATACATTCTTGCTCTTTACTGTCCATTTGACTTTTTATTTTAATTTGTCTTTTTTCTAAAAAAACAAATAATTCTTTTACTTTATACTTTCTTGCTAAATCTCTTAAAAATGGATAGTTCTTTAAATCATTTAAAATATTTGAATACTTTTCTATAATACCACAATAAATAAATTCTAAAAATGCTAAAGCAATATTATAAGATACATCTGTCCAAGAAATTTTTTCTTTAATATTAGTAAATAATAAAGTATCATTAGATGTAATATCAAGTAGCATATTTGAACACTGAATATGTAGAACTAATTTATGTGCCCAAATATGTTTATCATTTTTAACAAATATTATTATATCACTTGCAGAACTATCATTTAATGAATCACCCCAATTTGTTATTACTGTATTAATAAATTGCATATTTTGACAATTTTCGCATTTTTCATTTACACAATATATTTTTTTATGTGATATTTCATATATTTTTTCATTATTAAATTCAGTAGGATTTTGATTTGATTTCACATGATTATATACATCGCATGTATTTGCAAAATCTAAAATCATTTCTTCTTCCTATATATATTATACAATATAAATATAATTTCTGAAAATTTAATATTAGTAAATTTAATATTTATTTTACTTACTCTTTGTTTTTCTTCTAAAGTTATATATTGCGATAAATTTGATACATAAAAATTGTTTTGATTTAGAGGTAATTTTGCTTTATTCCATAATTTTTTTTCCTTAAAATTATAATAAGAAACAATAAGAAATAAATAAATACTTACATTGTAAAAATATAATCATCTAATAATACTTTATATTATAATCATATACCTTATTAAGAAGTTCTTGAAGTAAATGACTTTTTAAATCAGTTTTTTTTTCAATTATATAATTACATTTAATTTTTTCTTTCTGATTTTGAGTAATTAATTCATCTCCCATTAAAATTTCAGAGATTCTTTCAGTTAAAATATGATTTCTTTCTTTTTCAGAACGTGTTTGAAGTAAAGTTATTTCATTATTCTTTCCTATTAAAAAATTTTAGTAAGAAAGTTAAAATTTAATTTTTATTTAAGAGAAAAATATATATTTTAATTTAATATACTTTTTTTATTTTTTATTAATGATGGAGGTTTGCTGTTTATAAATCCAAATTTTTCCAACTGACTTTCTGATTTATTTTCTTCTAATATAAATTGATTTAATACTTTAGGTAATTTTTCAATTTCATTTATTTTATCAAGTTCTTCCGCTTCTTGAAGAGATTTTGATAATGCTAAGGCAAGTTGAAAATCAGTTTCTTCATATGAAATCTAAGAATTTAAAAATATTTATAATATAAAATATAAAATATAGATAAAAATTATCTATATATTTATATAATTTCTTTAAATAATGATAATATTTAATATAAAAAAATACATACTTTATATAACATTGATTTTTTTTTATCTTGTACTATAGGTGCAACAAGCAAACCTAATGATTTTCTTTCATCTTCTTGACGTTTTTGAAGTTCTATAGCATCTAATAACTTTTTTGTAGAAATATTATTTTTATATGCACAAATTTTCATATGTAATGCACGAGAATTAAGATCCTTAAACGTTTTAAAACATAAAGGACATACTAGAGCCACTTTTACATCATTATTAGAATTATTATCACAATTATTTTCAAATTTAAAAAATGATGATTCTAAAGATTGAGATTCTTGCAAATTTCTTTTCTTTTCTTGTTCTTTTTTTTTTTTGTTATCTCTTTGGCTTTTGATAACATTTTTAAATTTTATATTTGTCTTTTTCTTTTGATGTCCATTGAAATAATTAAATTCAGTTAATTTTGTTTTAGAAAATTGTTTTGGACTTTTAAAATCTAATATACTATCATTTTCAGTTATAGATGTATCATATAAAGTTTTATTTTCTTCATTCATTTTTTAAAAAATAATATATATTATATTTTATCTTCTTATATATACTGTAATAAAAATATGAAATAAATATAAAATTAATTATTTTTTTATTTTTATATTATTTAATGTTGTTTATATTTTTTATATTAAATATTAAAAAATTAAAAAATATTATAATACAATAATATTTATTAAATAATATTTCAATATATTTTGCATAATTATTTATTTTATATGTATTAATTACAACATTATTAATTAGATACAAATATTAATTATAATATTATTAATTAAAATGTTTGATATTTATATTGATAAATATAAGCAATGCATTTTTCTACATTATTTTTAACTAATTGTTTATTATATAATATTTATATATTTTATAAATTATAGCTAGATTAAAATTTAATTCAATTTTTATCAACTTTTTAATGTACAAATTAATAAACTACAAATTAATTAATTATTGATTTCAGATAAAGATGATGATTTATTAGTCTCAATAATTTCTTTTTTTTCTTTTTCTAATATATATTTAACAATTTTCTGGAATCTGGGTTGATTCCAAAAATGTTTTGTACTCTCATATTCATCAAGTAAAGTTTGTTTTTTAGGTTTAAGTTCAAGTTCAGTAATAAGTTTGTGTTTCTTCTCAATAAAATCACTGAAATAAATATATATATTATAAATATATTTTTTATATGTTCAATATTCAATATTAAATATATTATTACAAATACATATTATTTAAAAATTATAATATCTTCTGGATCATTAAAATTTGTTGATTTAATATCATTTCAGGAAATATATAATAAGGTTAGATTATAATTGTTCTATAAATTACAAATATTACAATTGAACATATATATTATTTCATATAATTTAATTTTTACGAAATATTTTAAATTTAAAAAAAATTTAATATATAAATTTAAATATTTAATATGCAAAATCTATATATTTACCTTAACAATAAAAGACCTGCAAGAGGAATAAGAATTTTCGTTAAACTTGTAATTATAAATGCTCTACCAGCCGGAGTTCCAGCAAGAGTTCGAAATTGTTTTTTTTTTAAAACTATCGGTTCAAACATTATTCAAATATTATTATATTAAAGTGATAACGTATAAAATATTTTTTTGTAACTATGTTCTTGTAATAATTTTATATTGTACAGTGTTGCCAATAATAAAATATATGTAATTTAAAATATGTGTATACATGAAAAAATATTTAAATAAAAAAAAAATATTTATATTTATTTATTTAGTTATTATAGATAAATTATATTAATCTTTACGTTAAAATATTTTAATTCTTTTTAATTTTTGAAACTATTTGTTACTTAAAGAAATAATGATAATATGAGTCATTACTTATATTGTAATATCTAATAACATAATGTATATATATTTTTCATATTTATATTTATTTAGTAATAATATTTTCTGATTAGTAACACATATTTATGGCGAGTTTATATCGAAATAATTTAGAAAATTTTTAAATTTATTTATCAAAATCAAATTCGAAATAAAATGTTTTAATAATGATGTTTTAATAATTTATCTCTTGCTACGCTATTTAAACAGAATATCATTGAGCAGTAATATTATTTCTCAATACACATATATATATAATATATATGTATTTTTTATATATATTGATAATTATTACATAATATACATAGGAATATAATTACATAGGAAATTAATGCGATTTGATATTATGCGTCTATGAAATAAAAATTCAAATATTATTCAATGAAACCGCATTTAAATATAACAAAAAAAATCACCTTATATATTACATATACATAACGTATTGTATAAACATATTTTTAAATATATAAATTATACTTTCTATTGTTTTTTTTACAGAATAAATCTTCGAATAGTCGAATTTCCTTGGTTTAATAATTTATTATTAAATTGATATAAATAAGCAATTATTTTATAAGAATAGTATTTCTTTTAATGAATTAAGTGATTGGAAACAAATAATTAAATTATATGACAATAATTAAATTATCGGTTGATCAGTTATTAATTGTTGATCAAATATCAGTACCACAATTTGTCATCGTTTATTAGTTTTATCTCTTGACTATATTTAGATTTTATCAATATTATTATTATTAATTGGGATAATCATTAATATTGATTATCGAGTTTACAGTTTAAAAAGAATTCTTAAGCAGTAATTGGAATCAATTTGTATCATTATATAAAAAGTTTCAGTACTCACCGATGTTAATTTTTGTTGATTGAATTTTTATGATAATGTAATTTAAATTCTTTTAATATTTAATACTATTTAAATATTTTATTTATATTTATATTAATGATAAATATCATGAACAATTTAAAAAAAAGTAACTTTTTATTTTATATTTCAATTTTGTGAATCAAGATTGGTTCTCTTACGATTCGATCACATGGCTTTGTTTATATCCGGTAACTTAATCGAATAGAATATAAATATTAATTATAGAAAATTGTTATTTAATTAAAATGTTTTTCAATATATATAATGAAAACATGAAAATAAAAAAATTTAAAAATAATTAATAATTATATAAGAATCAAGAAAATTTTATAAAATATAAAAATATTACTCAATTTTATTTTTTATCCTTTGATTAATTTTTAAATATGGTATGTATTATATTTTTATCATTTATTTTAATAATTTTTTATATTTTTGAAAATCTTATAAAAATTATTAATTATATATAAGGCTTCTACTTCTAAGAGACAAACTGCAATTGGAACTAGAAAAAAAGGTGTACCGAAATTGGAATTGACTGCTGAACAAAAAAATGATATAAAAGAAGCATTTGATTTATTTGATCCAGATGGCACTGGAAGGATAGCTACCAAAGAACTTAAAGTGGCCATTAGAGCTCTTGGGATTGAACCAAAGAAAGAAGAAATAAAAAGACTTATAGCTGATGTTGATCCAGATGGTCTTGGTACATTATCATTTGAAGAATTTCTAAACTTAATGTCTACAAAAATGTTAGAAAAAGATACAAAAGAAGAAGTTTTAAAAGCATTTCGCCTTTTTGATGATGATAACACAGGAAAAATATCTTTCAAAAATTTAAAACGAGTTGCACGAGAATTAGGAGAAAATCTTACAGATGAAGAATTGCAAGAAATGATTGATGAAGCAGATAAAGATGGTGATGGAGAAGTTTCTCAAGAAGAATTTTTACGTATTATGAAGAAAACTAATTTATATTAATATTTTATAATTTATTCTTAAATTATTTAAAAAATATTATTTCTATACATAAGTTGCTTATGATTTATATAAGAATACTATTATTACTATTAAATTATTATTTGTATTATTACATTATAAGTTTACATTAAATTTATATATATTCTACAATTTATTTATTTTAAATAATAACATATAATATCAGATACAAGATAGTTAAAAAATAAATTTTTATATAATGCAATAATGTATATAATAAAATATATATATTATATAATATATAATATATATATATATACGTATATATAATATATACAATAATTATAAATAATTGATTTGTATCAAAAATGTGGAAATATTGAAAAAAATGTTTAATTTTGTTAAGAAACATAATAATATAATAAATAATATAATAAAATATTTTATTATATTTCAAAATTTTTTACAAGTTTCCATTTAAAACTTCTTGTTTCATTGTTGATATAGCAGAATCAATTAATGATCTTACCAATTCTGCTCTTTTTCTAGATTTAATTAAGCTTTTTAAAAATATATCTTGTGAAATTGGAATTCCACCTAAATAAAGAATATAAATTACATTATTTTAATTAAACATAATAAAATGTTAAATTTCATTTAACTCTATTTTATAAAATCAAAAATTATACACATAGAAAATTAAATATGTAATATTTTATGGTAATTTAATTTGATTACCATAATAACATTGATTTCATTTAATCTATCTAATCAAATGAAAAATCAAAATGATTTACTTATATTTTTGTTATTTCCAAATATAAAGTAATTTAAAGAAAACTGAAAACAAAAATATCCCTTAAACATTAATAAACTCAAATTAATTTAAATTTAACTTAAATTTTAATTCAAAATATATAATTTTTAATAATATATAATTTTTGATTCTATAGATTTTTGAAATTAAATTGTTATTTTTTAATTTTATTTATCAAATACTATCACAAAATATAAAAATTATTAAAAATTTTGGATGCGAAAACTTCATTCTTTATTTTAAATATATAATTATATATAACTATATTTAAATTTATATTTAATTATATAATATATTATATTTATTATATTATATTATATTATATATATATATTAAATATAATATATTATATTTTATATGTTAAATATATATTTAACATATAATTTAACATATAAAAATATATAAAAATATACCAGGTTTATGTATGCAACAAATTTTTTCTTCATTCATTACAATCGTCAATTTTCCTAAACATAAACTTTCTTCATCATCAGTAGGATCAGCTATCAATAATTGACTAAAATAAATAGTATTAATTTAAAATAATATATTAGAATTTTGATTATCCATTATATTTTAATGTTAAGTTTCAAATTAAATACTTACTTATCAAATATTGCAAAAGTTATAGAAACTGGTAATGCCTTAATTGGAAATCTTATTCTTTTTGTAGAATTTATTGATACATGTCCAGTTTCTACATTATAAAATATTTCTGGTAAAGTTACTACAAAAAAATTAGATTATATTAGGAAATATAAAAAAAAAAATATAAATAAAAAAAATTATTTTAAATTATTTGAAACTAACAAGTGTTAAGTGTAGCTGTTAATGCTCCAATACAAGCATCAATTATTGAACCATCGTAGTTAATACATACAAGATCACAATATAAAACCCATACTAGTTTTCCTTTATAAATACAAAGTTCTTTTAAATCAATAGCTGCTGAATTTCTTAAAATATTTTCTATTAATTTTGTGATAACTTGTGCCTGATCACTTGGTGGACCTGGTCGAAATTTAGGAGAACATAATGGAGGAAGTTCAATATTTGGCACAATATAACCATATTCTGGAGATTCTGCTTTAGGTACTGCTAATTCCTATATTAAATTTATAATTATTCAATTAATAAAAATAATGAATTTCTATCTTGAAAAAATAAAGATTTAAACTTTTACATAATTTTATATTTTTGGTTTCATGCTTTTAATATTAATTTTTTAATAAAAACAAACAAAATGATTTACTTACACTTTTAATACCACATACAATTGTTGTATTACCAATTTTGAATATGGCTGAGCTATCAGCATGAGTAATTGATGATATATTTACACTTATAGGACGAAAAGATAAAAATTGTCTGCCATCTGGACGAACATCTTGTGCCTTTACATTTTCAATTATTATAAATATATTTATATATTTAATTTTAATATATATTTAATTTATGTTAATATTTATATATATATACTTACCAAGTGATCTTGCAAATATTTCACAGGATGGATAATTCTAAATAAATAATTTCTAATTAAATTTAATTATAATATATAAAATATATAAAATATTAAAATTTAGTTTAAAATATTAAATTTCTTTAAATTTTATTCAATTATGTACTATTCTATTTTAAAAATTTAAAACGATACATAGCTATATAATAGAATATTATTTAAAAATAAATAAATAAAAAGGTTATGTGAAATTAAATAATAGATGTGTACAGAAAACTAATTATTTTTATGAATAAATTTAAAATATTTTATATTTTATATTATATTCATCATATGTAAAAATTATAAATATACACACTAAATTAATGAAAAAATATATAATATGATATAAAAGGTAGATACTAACTTATACTGTGAATCCATAATAGAAATATTAACTTCTAATATAATTAAAATTCATATTTTCATATTTTATATATTTTTATATTTTTATATTTCAATTATTATTATGAATAGAATTATTTTTTTTAAGATATAAATGATTATTTTTTGAATTAAAAAAATAAGAATCATATATACAGAATATTAATATATTTATAGATCTTTTGAGAGTCGATTCTGAAAGTCAAAATAAATACGAAAATGCCAGTTAGGACTTATTTATTTATAAAGTTTATTAAGTTACACGCAATTTAAATTTTATTAGATGAAGTGAGACAAAGATAAAATGAGATGATAATTAAATGAAAATATAATTGTCTCATTTTTGTATTTTTTTTTTGATATCTGAAATCGAAAATGTTCCACGAATATTTTAACGAATAAATATATCTATATTATAAATAAATATTAATAAAAATTTTTAATAAAATATTATAACTTTTTAAGTTTCATAATAAAAATTACTTATCTTAAAATTTTTTCTTTTTATTTAATTTATTATTTATCCTTATCTGATGCAATACATCATTTATCATTTTAAATTCAAAAAAATTGATTAATCAATAAATTATTTTTTGATTAAATATAATTAAATTTATTTTATTTTGCGATATAATATTTTATAAAGATTTCATTTAATTTTATAATACAATTAAAGTGAATTTTGATTTTATATTATATGTATTTATATGTTTAAAATTTATTATATATAATGTACTTTTTCTAAAATTAACATTATCTGCTTACAAACAGTAGAAAAGACAAATGTTTCATTAAGAAAGGCACAATGTGGTATATATTCATAAAATATCATATCAACGAAAATTAGATAAAATAGAATCTAATAAGAATATATATCGAAATATTTCAGTATAACAAGACAATATAATAATATTTATAAATGGTCAAAATTTCATGAATTCTTTTTACAAAATATAGAGTTAAAAAAATAGTAATCTTCTATCTTTTAATTTTTTTGTAAATATTAAAATAATATACTATTTAATTCTTAATGTCAATGATATCTTCAAAGTTATTCATATAAATTAGATATACATATTAAAACATTAAATTTCAAAATTTAATACAAAATTATTTGAATTCTTTATATACAGATATGTTTCTTAATTCTTTGCATAAATATAATTTAAAAATAGTTTTAACAATCTTTAAATTACTATTAGTTATAATATTATTGACAATTTGAAGTTATCAACTTTTAAAAATATAGTTTTGAATATGTTCTTATTCATATTGCTGTTCAATATAAAATACAGTTAACTTCATCGGGCAAGCGTAGAATAAAATTTAGGCTGTAACAAAAAAAAAAAAACAAATTATTAAAAATTTGATAAATTTTTAATTATTATCAATATTATACAAAATTGCTTACCTCATGATCATGATTTTCTTCTTTATTTCCATCATCATCATCACCAGAACTATCACCTCCTGAACTATCTGCTGAATTACGTTGTTGATCTTTATTATTTAAATTATCAACAGTAGATGGAGATGATGCTTTTACTTTACTGGCTGCATCATAACATTGTAGACAAACTCTAACTGCTTTTCCATTTCCTTGTCCAGGTAATAATAACTTTTTATTGCTACAAGGTCCACATACAACAGCTCCACACTGCCTACAATGATGCTGAAAATATTGTCTCAATATTATAAATATTTAGAAAATATATTTAGTAACATAAAAATAAAATTAATATGTATATACCCGTCTATTTAAGACTGTAAATTGTGTTTTATTACAATGCATACAAATTGTAGCTTCATTATCTGGTACCCAAACAGCTGCATGAACTTCAACTGGTTTTTTACCACCTATTAAAGAAATTCAAATTATAAACAAATTATAAAAATATTATATTATATAATTATAAAATTAATTACTTTTTCTTAATAAATCTTCAATACATTTTGTAATATGAGCCATCCATTCTTGTTTCTCTGTTGCAGTAGCAGCATAAACAGCAAATGACTTTGTTACTGTTTTTATGAGCCAGCCATTGCGATATTCTATAAATAATGATAAACTACTAAATTATTTTTATATAATTATATATATTTGCAACATTGATTATATTTAATAAGCAATAGATCCATATTCCAAAAAATAGTTCTAAAATTATTATAATGTAATTTATAATAAAAATAGAAAACTCTATATTAAAATAAAATACAAAATTTTACAGATACTATATAAATCATATTTGCATAATAATAAAATTAATTAATATTAATTATGTTTTTTTTATATATCCTAGATGTATAAATAACATATAAATACATATTCTGTACATATATGTATATATACATAAATAATTATACAAATAACATTCAAATTTAATTACAAATTGATTTTAAACAAATATAAAATATAATTTAATCAATAATGAAAATATAACTTACGACCATCATCAATCAAAGATTCAAGTTTAACTTCTTCAAGTGGTATAATATGTTGTTTGTTATACTGTTAACATATATAAATTTTTTTATTATAATATAATATATATTAAATTAATACATATTAATCTTTAATATTATATTAAACTATAAGTAATATTAATTATTAATTAAATTAAAATTATATCTAATATAATAATTCATACATTTATACCTTTTTTTTATTCATTACAATATTTCCATAAACCAATATATCATTAAATAAAAAAAATTGTCTTGGTTTAGGCTTTTTCCTACACATTTTTGTTAACACACCTTCTCCAACTAAGACTCTTCCAGGTACTGCAAGTGGCTGTAATATATAATAAATTCATAATAAATTAAAAGATTTTATTTTTATATTTTAAACCTTATTATACCTAACATTAAAACATGCCAAATTAAATTATACATATTATAATTAAATTTTTTGATAATATAAAATTGAATATTAAAGAAAAGTTAAAAATTCTAATACACTAATTTTACCTGGCCAGAACTGCCAAAGCAGTTTTCAACCATAGCAATACGTCTGGCATTAGCCTCGCTATTTACTGTAATACAATATAAAAAATAAATAATCTTTACTTACTTTTTATAATATGCGACAAAAAATATAATTTATTAAAAAATAATTTATTTCTACTAAATTTTTTATATATTACGTATCTAACTAAAAATTACAAACTTCTGAATTACACCGTTACTCGATGCAATTTAAAAATCATAGATTAAGCAAATTATTAATTATCTAAATTAAGAATCAAAATATTTAGTATACATATTAAATTTATATATTAGAAATAAATTAAATTTGAATAAGAAATATAACATTAAATGATAATTAAATGATAATAAATGAAATATAAACTAACCCAATCGGTCAACCATGGTCCTATGAATCAGGGCTGACAACAAGGAAGTATGAATCATGAATATGTTTAGTATTTGTCAATGTTAACACAGATTTATTTTATTTCTAATATTATAAAAGCAATTAATATGTTTAAAAAATCATATAAAAATATTTATGTTGTTTAATAATACAATAATAGAAATAATATTATATATATAATAGTTAGATAAATATTAACTATTATAAAATATAGAAAATAAAATTATATTGATTTTGAATTTATTTCAATTTCAAATTGTTAATTTTTCCTAATAATAATTAATATGCTAATAATTAATAAAATAACGAAATATATTTTATTTTAAACAATATGTATTACAAATTTTCAAATACCGGATATAATCTTTCGAGATATCGATATCTACAATTTCTCATCAATAAGAATCATATGATTATTAAGGGTGTAGCAAATTACAAGTCTTGATAAACGTTTTTTTAGGTTACTTTATATAAACGATAATAAAAGATAACTGCAAAAAATGAAGATATGTGGACCTAAGTATGCCCTATGTGGCCTGATATTATCTGTTTGGGGTATATTTCAACTGGTAAGTTAAATATTATTTTAACATAAAAATATATTTGAAAGAATTGTAAAATTGAAAATGTAAAAAATTGCACTAAGATTTTTATGTATTTAAATCTCATTTTTTCTTAATTGTAATTTTATTTGAAGAAAAAAAAATTGATTACATTCTGATAAATTTAGTGAAATTATTTTAATTATATTTTTATTTATAAGTAAATAAATAAGTTTGTAAGAAACTGTCACAATTTAATTAATTCTATATTAAATATAAATGATTTTTTATATTAAATATAAAAAATTGATATTTTTATTTTTACAAAAATATTATATTTGTTTTTCAGCTCCTGATGGGAATATTCTTTTATACTAAAAGTGTAGCTTTAATAGAAGATGTTCCATTTGAAGCAAATATCAAAGATACTACAGAATTTTATGGTGCTGCAGATAGAGGTTACAAACAAAATGCATATAATTGTTGGATTGCAGCTTGTATCTATCTTCTTACATTATTACTTTCTGGACATCAATTTTATATAAATTCAAGATCATCTTTAAGTGTTTAAATCATATGATAAAATAAATGAAAATAATATGTTTAAGTGTATAATATAATGTATTATAAATAAAATCATATTTAGGAATATGCTAAATATAAATTTAGAATAGATTTTTTGAATTGCATTATACTTTTAAGTTAAACAAAAAGTTAATCAGTTGTTATTTAAAGTATATTTATTATATTAAAAAAACTGTTAAACATAAATATATGAAAATATATTAATATTATTGTTGAACTTATTTTTTAATGTATATTTCATTTTTTTCTTTTTTTATTTATTAATATTATTAACATTATAAAAGTTTCAAAAGTTTGTTATTTTATTATTATACAATAATTTGTAATTAATATAATAAAATTTTACGTTTATGATACATTATGATACAATAATTTTTGAAAATCTGTATTATTTTGATTTATATGAACTAATATATTAGTTTAATTATTGGTTAGTTATGATTCGGCAATGATATATACATATATATATATATATATATATATATATAAAGAAATTATTTTCGGATGCTTAAATTTACATTATAATCAAATTTAATTTGATATTAAAATAAAAAACTTAGATTTTAAACTGTTATATACATAATTTTAAAATATATTACTATATTGTTAGTTAGAAAGAGGTAAAAATCACATAACGTATGTATATAAAATCATAGTATGTACAAAAAAATCATAGACAATAATAGGTTATGTTATCTATATAATAGATATTTTTTGATTAATGACTACTATATAAAAAATTCAAATTAATTATTGAATATACATATTTATTTTGTCTCGTTTACTATAAAATATTTTATAATTATAATAATNATATATAATTATTATTATGAAATAATATTATATGTATATAATTATTATTATGAAATATTAAAATATATTTTTTAAAATACATTTAATAAAATATATGTAATTATATTTTTTATTACAGAATATTCTATTATATTAATATTCTATTATATTACAGAATATTCTATTATATTAATTACAATGGAAAATGAACAAATTATAACTGAAGATTATAGTGAAATAATACAATATCTTCCTTTTTCTTTAAAGTTGTTATATGGAACAGGACATGTATTAAATGATATTTGTGCTTCTATGTGGTTTACATATTTATTAGTTTTTTTTCATTTGGTATTAGGATTTAATTCAACATTAGCTGGAGTAATCTTATTTATTGGTCAAATAGCAGATGCTTTAGCTACTTCTTTTGTTGGTTTTTATTCTGATAAAAATAATGATTTTTGGTTATGTAAATATGGAAAAAGAAAAACATGGCATTTAATAGGTACATATATTTTATTAAATAAAAATATATATATTATATATATTTATTATATAATATAATTTAATATATATAATTTTTAGGTACTTTATGTATATTATTTGCATTTCCCTTTATATTTTCTCGTTGTATTGGATGTGAAACAGCTCATGAATGGGCTCAATTAATTTATTATGCAGCATTTGTTATAATTTTTCAATTTGGTTGGGCTGCAGTACAAATATCTCATTTATCATTAGTTCCAGAACTTACATACATTGAATATGAAAGAACAGAACTTATTGCAATTAGGTATCTTTTAATTATTAAAAGTTGTTTAAATTACATGAATGAATTATAATTCTGAATATTTTATTTAGATATAGTTTCACAGTTCTTTCAAATGTTTTTGTTTATTGTATTACATGGGCAATATTACATATAACAAATACTAAAGATTCTAATTCTCAAATTGGTCCTGATGATACAACAAAATTTCAAGAAGTTGTATTTATTGGAATTGGAATAGGAACTATAACTTCCTTTTTATTTCATATCTTTGTCAAAGAGAATCTTAATAATTCTAATGGTAAAAATAATTTTATATTTATATATTATATTTACTTAAAATCTTATTTAATCTATCTAATCTATTTTATTATATTCATTTTAGATTTAGTGAATAGAAGTTCAAGAACAATATCATTAATATTAAAAGATGTTCAATTATATCAAGTAGCTTGTATATATATGCCTACCCGTTTGTTTATAAACTTATCACAAATTTATGTACCTTTGTATTTACATATATCATTAAATATGCCAGCTACATCTTTAGCTATAATTCCTTTAATAATGTATTTAAGTAGTTTTGTAATGTCTTTAATTATAGAAAGATTGAATACAAAACTAGGTAGAAAAATTTCATATTGTTTTGGTGTTGTATTAGGTGTATGTGCTTGTATTTGGATACAATTTGGTAATGATTTAACATACATAAGATATCAAATCTATTTAGTATTTTTAATATTAGGTATAATTATATAATTTTTTTAAAATTCTTTAAATTGAATTTAAGAGAATAAATAATTTCTTTTATTATAGGATCTGCTGGTTCTGTTATGTTAGTGACTAGTCTGGGTATTACTGCAGATTTTATAGGTCAAAATACAGATAATGGTGCATTTGTATATGGTATTATGAGTTTTACAGATAAAGTTTGTAATGGTTTAGCAGTTATGCTTATTCAATATTTGTTAGTATAAAATTAATAAGATTTAAATTATTATTTAAGAAAGAAACAAAACAAAGCTAATATTTTTTTTATTTTCTCAGAAACTGTTGGATTGATTGTAAAAATTATTACAGAGATGTTTTAGTTTATGTTTGTGGTACTTCTGCAATATTTGGCATGTTGATGATATTATGCATAAAATCATTTCATCATGGCACAAGTAAATATTTATTATAAAATATTCATAAAATTAATTATAATAACATTATAATACAAATATAAATTGTTGCAGCATATAATACATTACATTCTGAACAAACTATAGAACATAACATATTTGTTACATCAACAATTGAGAATGAATCTGATAACTTATTACAATAAGAAAATATTACATAGTATAAAAAATAAGAATGCAATCTCATAATAATGAATATTTAAAATAAAGGAAAATTTTTTTTATGTTAATAATAATTTGATAATAATAAAATAATAATATATCATAAATATAATATTATGTATCTTAAAAAAAAATTGTATTATTTTTTTATTTAATTTGATAGATATACATTAGAGAATTAAGTTATGAAATATTTAAATTGCATCAATTTCAGGTAAGAAGCATTCAATTATGATTGATTTAAAAGTAAAAAAGATACCAAAATGTAAAGAAACTATATATAGTATATTATAGTATTATATATATAGTATATTTTAGTATTTCTATCAGCACAAAAATTATATGTATAATTATAATAATTCAAAAAATGAAATTATTTTTTATTAAATAAAAATAAATTTAAAATAATATATTGATATATTTGAAAATAAAATAAAAAAATCTTTATCTAACAACTACAATGATATTTCTTGCCCTATATATTTATGTATCTAAAATATCTTTTTCATTATTATATTGAATTAAATATATAGTAAATTACTAAGCAAAATGCTAATAAAAATTAAAAAAAATAATACAAAATAAAGATAATTTATTTCTTAAATAAAAAATTATCCATAATGTGTATTTAATGAAACCGAATTTTAAACTCTTTTTATTATAAATACATATTATTATAAATATTATATATATTATTTTAATATTTCTTTTATATTTTATTAATATATCAAATTTATATTTTTTATGTTTTCTTTTTCTTTTCTTTTTGAGAAATTCTCTTTTCCAAATTTTCTCGATATTTTTTTTCACTTTGAAATATTTGCATATAGATTCATTTTCAATATTTTCAAACAAATATTTCTAAAAAAATAAAATTAAAACTTTTTTTTTTTTATAAACTCTTGATAAAGTACATTTTATCCATAAATTAGAAAAAGAAGGTAAATAGAGAAATTTAGTTTACTGACGTATTTCATAGATACATTAGAAGCTGTGTTTATAATAACACGGAATGTGCAAATTGATAAGAAGAGTAATATTATGCAAAAAAAGATAGAGAATAGTAAATTCTGCTAATAAAAATAAAATTACAACATTTATATTACAACATTTATATCTTAATTGTACAAATAATGTACTAAAATATCTTATTAAAAAATTATTGAAATATATTGAAAACTGAATATTATTGTGAAATATAAAAATATTTGAAATGTCTTTATCAGTAGGTAAGTTAACACATGAATGAAAATATAACCTTTAAATATTTGCTATTATAAATAAATATATTTTTTTACTTAATAGAATTATTGAAACGTTTAAACACAAATGAAGAACCTTTACCCAAACGTTTAAAATTAGCAGAAAATGCGTTTTGTGCTATTGACATACCAATAATACATAAAAATGACCATATTCTACAATGGCTTTGTAGTATACATCCTATGGATCAGAAAATTTGGAATTCATTAAAAAATTGTTTGAAAATTAAATATTTGAATATTAAGACAAATGTAATAAAAATGTTAATAAAAATAGTAATTGAAACATTTCAGAAAGATATGAAATATATATATATAGATATTTTTGAATGCTGTAGTTTATTAACTTCTAATAGTGGGATTCAACAGTATTTTATTAGTAAACCAGAAGATTTAGGACTTTTAATAAAGTCCTTGTTAGAATGTGTAAATAACATTTTTAAAAATGCTTTTAATATTAAAGAATCCTCGATAGATGGAATAAAAATTTCATTAATTAACAAAAGTAATGAACTAATATTAACAGCATATAATACAATAATTAATGTTATAGAAAATTTAATACAAATTTATAAATCTGCTTTTATTAAGAAAGATATTTTGAAAGTTATATTTATAAATGATATTTTATATCCTTTATGTGTTATAATTGATCACACCTGTACTGATAATAGTAATAGATTGGGTGCAATAACACATAAATGTATTCAGCAATTAGTATTTGAAAGAAAATATATTCAAAATGGAGAATTTTTAATAGATGAAAATATAATAAAAAATATATCTATTTTGATACAAAATGCAAAAATAAAAGATTTGCAGAGCAATTTAATGATATTTAATTTTTTCTTTCGTGTAGCAGTTAGTACTTTCAAATCAAATACTATTATATTAGATATAATATTAAGAAAATTAATTGAATGTTCTGGAATATATAGAAAAAAGATTTTAAATACTCTTTTAAAATGTTTAAATGATGTAACATTTAATTTTAATAACAAAGTAAATGATATCACATTGTTTAGTTATTGTCAAAATATAATTGATGATATTTTAGAAAGCAAAAGTATGAATAACACAGATTATGATCTTTTGATTCAATTTTGTTATTTTAATCCTCTTTTAATTGAGAAGAGAATTCAAAATATATTTAAAAAAATATTTATAGAAAAATCAAGACTAAAATATAAACATTTAATGATTTCCATTTTGGATGCTTCTATACATCTAAAACAGGAAGAAAAATTAATTTCAGCAATATTAATAGTTTTAAAAGATAATTCAAATCATGTATCAATTATGGAAAATGATATGTTTTTTCCAAATGAATTCAAACAAAATTTAATAAAAGCAATAAATAATATAACAAATTCACAAAGTATAAGTATATTAAAAACATTGACATATCATTTAAAAATAGATTTCTTGCAAATGCTTCAATCTAATAACATTGGTAAAAATGATAATTATAAATTATAATAATGGAATTATTATTGATTTTTATATATTTTAATATTTTATTATAGGTGAAAATATTTTATTATTTCGAGCAATAGTTGAATTATTTATTACATTTTTAGATGGTATATGTATTTTTGAATATAATAGAACATTTAGTTCATACCAAAAATTTTTAATTGCTTTCAATGATCTAAAAAATGTGCTATCACTTTTGACGATTGAAATATTGCGATTAAATTATGATGAAAAAGTTATAATACTATTAACTGCAATATATTCATGGAATGAAACACAAAGAATGTTAAATTATTATATACCAAATATTACTTCAGAAAATTTAGTATCATCAATATCAGAACATCAGTGGCAACAATTGATAAAAAAAGTTAAAGAATTTGGAAATGAGAAATGTAAGAATAATATGGTATGTTATTAAAATTTTTTTATTTTTTTATGAATATAATTTATAAAAATTTAGAAAGTTTTTTTTTTTTCATTTTATATTAAAATCATATAGAAATTATATTTACATATATTTTGATTTCAGAATAAGCTTATTTTACAACGAATTAAAATGTCTCAAAATGCATTAAATAAATCTTTTGTGATGCTTAATGATTTAATAGGTGGTTTAGAATATTGTTGGCATTTCATATTAAAATTTGATACAGAAATAATACAATTTTTAAATAATGAACAAATGTTAAAAGTGATACATTTATTATTAGCAGATATGACTTCTAATGTGGATAATTTTAATAAATGGGTAAAAATATTACATAAAAGTGACTTACAAGAAAATAAAAGATTGATAATATTTATATTAACTTGTGTTTTTACACAAATTGGATATTTAATAACAGAAAGTACAACAAAATCTATTAGTAAATGTTTTAATGCAGTATGTATAATAAATTTATGCATTAATATTTTATCAATATTTAAATATTATATATATATAAAATTATTAAAATATTATATTATATATAAAATTAAATAATATTTATTTATCTGTTTAGGAATGTTTACTTGAAGCTGAAATTACTAAATGTGAAAGAATAAATAATATATTAATATCTATAAAAGAGGAATTGCTAATAAATAAATGGGTACAAATACAAAATATATTTTTATGTAAAATTCAAACATATTTAGAAGTATTACTTCATTTACCAGTAATGTTTCTGAGTACTAATTTAAAATTGATCATATTTATGTTCTTATTTACTCTTCGAATGGAATGTAATGAAAATAATGAAATAGTTCTTTTGTGTAATACTATGTTTTCAGGTATCTTTTCTGTTTGCAAAATGTTAATATATTCGTGAAACATCTTTGAAAAGTTTATTTTAAAGATCAAAACAAATATAAAATCTAAATATATATAAAAATATTGATTAAAGTTTATTTTTATTTATATAATTATTTATAATTTAATATATTAATTTATAATAATTAACATTTGCATTATGAAATGAGCTATCATTTAGAGCTATCTCTATTTTTATTTTTATTATATCACTATTTTTTTATATATTTATCTTTTATAAAATTTAATTTCTTATAATTTAATAAATGAATTTCAAGATCAATATTTTTGCAACATTTTGTGTTTATTTTCTTTAAAATCAAAAGTATTCCATGGATATATTCACATTTTGTATATTATAGTTATATAGATATTTAATCAAAAATTATTAATATATAAAATTTTTTTCATTTTTAGATCTCTTGGAAAGATCTAGCATTGATATATTTCAATATATAGAACCTTCTTTATTATTACCATTCTTGTCTCAAAATAGAATATTTAAAAAACCATTGGAATTATTTCTTAGGAATTGTTCATATAAAAATGTGAAAAAATATATAAAATCTTCAATTAGTTCCAATAAAAATATGTTTTTTTTATTAGAATCTATGGAAAATATTAAACCAAAATTAAATATTAATCAAAAAATAATAATTAAAAAAGCAGAACAGAAATTAATTAAAATTATGATAAAAACTATATATTTTGAAACAAAAAATTTGGATCATATGAAAACATTATGTCTAATATTAAAAATTAGTATTAAAAATGATAATATTGATGAAAAATTAAAAAATATAGCAGAATCAATGATTCAAGATATATTTGTGGTAAATATAATTTAATTAATAAAATTTTATATTATAAATTATACAATATATAATGGAGTTTTTAATTACAGAATGATAAAAATAATAAAATTTCAAATGAATTATTGCAAAATGGTTTACAACTTATGATTATTATATTACATAATAAAAAGATATTTCAAATTACAAATCAGACTATAAAAATAATATGGTATACTTTATTTAAATATCCGTTTGTAGATGTGCTTTTACCATTGTTAGAATTAAGTGAACCAAAAGAATTTTCTGAATTTATTGAAGAATTACATAATCAATTGGTATGTTTAATATATCTATAATATTATAGTATATATTATACAATAAATATATACTAAATTAATAAAAAAATTTATGAATTATGTCACAAAAAATTGCATCTATATAATTTTTTAATTTATATAAATTATTATGTATTATATATTTGTTTAATAATCTAATTTCATTACTAACAAAATATTTACTGAAATTTATTAATAATTAATTTAATTTATTATAGGTAAAAACTCTTTTGAATACACAAGAAAAAAATTTGGAAAATATTTGTATTATATGGAATACTATCTTAAAAATAAATATGTCTAATGATCGCAATAAATTACGTTTAATAGCTATAAATAATTTAATTCAAACAATACAAACTATAAATATACCAGAAAAATTTTTGTCAAGTTTATTGAAATTAATTCAAAATATTCTTGTTGCTAAACATTTATATCTTCCTGGATATGTTATTGATATGAGTATAATTTTTAGTTTAAAATCATTAGAAAAAAATACAATATTAATCTGTAATGATACATTAGCATTATGCAATGTATTGCTAAAAGTAAGAATAAATTTAATTAGAGATAGAATACCTTTATTATTGATATTATTTAGACAAATATTAAATATTTTTACATATAAATCCAAAGATATTATTAATAAATCTGATGAACATATACTCAAATGTCTTGCATTAGATATTGAAAAGTAAGTAAAATATTTTTTATTTAATATAAATATATATATATACATATATATTTTAAATTATTATATTTTGTATACAGATTTACAAATTCTTTAACAAAATTAAAGAAAGATATGATTCGAATAAGTCCCTATCTAATAGCAGATTTATTGAAATTATTTTCAGAAAATTCAATAGCAAGTTACGTTAAGGTAAATATTTTTAGAGCACATTTTATTTAGGAACATAATATTTATATTTGCCTATATAAGCATTCAAATTTTTTTTTATTTTTGATATATTATTAATTTTAAAATTAATTTATTAAAATTATTTGTATATTTTTTATATTTGATTATTAATTATTAGTATATTTGATTATTAATTATTATCAATATATATTTGTTATTTTTTTTCCTCTATTTAATTTTTAAAATTTTTTATTTTGAATATTTTAAACATTGTATAAAATAATTAATATGACATTCATATAAAAATCTTGAATTATAAATATTTAAATGGGCATTAAAAAATATTTTTTTCTGGAATAGATATGTAATTATATATATATTATTATTATTATAATTAAAAAAATATTATAATCAATATTATTTCAATATTTTATTTTAGATTTCTTTACAAAATTGTATATATCAGTTAATTAGTATATGTGATCAACATGGAATTGCATTATTATCTCGAACATTATCCGTTTCAATGCAAGAAATTTTTAAAACTCAATTAGATACATATAATAAATTTTATAAATTTATTGGTAAAATTTAAATAATTAACGATTTTAAATTTTAATAATTTCGTGTAATAATTTTTATAAATTTTTATAATTATTGTATTATTGTATAATTTAATAATAATAAATAAAAATTATTGATATTAATAAAAATATAGTTTTTATATAATTTTTTCTCTGGAAAAAATATTCTTTTAAAAATAGTATTGAATGAAGTTCTTATACTAATATTACTAATATTATTTAAGAAACTTTTATTTTTCATAATTTATATATTTATATATAATTTATATATATTATTATATTATATATTCATATACAAATATAAAATTTTTTAAAATTCAAGTTATGTAATTGATAAATTATTGCATTTATTTTATAGTGTCTCATTAACTATTAAAAAAAAGTTGAATGTATAACAAAAATGATTTCTATATTTATTAATTTATATATTTTCATATTATTTTTTGTCTTAAACATTTTCATGATTTTTAAGATCAGATATAAATATTTCGAACATATAATAGTTTTATGATATTCAAATAGTGATTTTGAAATATTACAACGTACAAATATAATGTATGACAATATGCTGAAATATCGAAATTATGATTATCGTACATTTTCATAACAATTATAATTCAAAATACATATAATATATGATGTTACTATATTATTCTATACGTTCTATGTATATACATCTGTTATATTTAACTTGTGCATCTTAAATCGCAATTCTAACATCGAACAATTAACATTCATCGCATATTTGAAATACAAATGTTCTGGATTTTATAGTATAAATTTAGTAGTTATATTTATAATTTTTATTTAAGAAAGTAAAGTTAGTATTTTATACTTATATTTTCATTAAAAATAATTAAACTTGTGAATTCTATGTGAATTAAAATTTTATATTCACATAAAATATTATTATAAGAATTAATTATATATAATTATTATATTTATAATGGCATTTTCCCGTATACCTCGTCGTGAAGGTTATATAGTTGCAATACTTGGTGCTATCACTGGTTATTATATTTGGAACCAACCATTAAAACAATTTGCTGAAAAGAATTTCTCCAATACAGACTTAAATAAAGTAAGTTTTTCATATTATGAAAAAATAAATGAAATAATATTAAAAATAAATAATTAAGTTATATATTTTTTTGTTTTATGTAATGACATATCTAAGATTTAATTTAGATTTATATTTTATATTTCTATTTTATTAAAATAAATTAATAAAATATCACATTTCATTAACATATTTTAAGTTTAATTTTTTTTGTGTTATTACACAAATTGACATACATATTCTAGTAACACTATATAACCTATATATAATAATCTATTATATATTATAACTTTTTAGTTTTCTGTATTTATTCTAAATGAAATATTAATTATTAATCAAATTTATATTTATTGAAATCAAGTTTGATTTACGTTTGACTTATACTTAAGAATTGTTTTAATTTTATTAATTCTATTTAAATTATAAATTAATAACGAATTATATTTAAATATAATAACTTTTAAGAAAAAATTTCTTAATATTAAAATTTATATTTTTGGAATCTATTCATTTATCAAATATCCTCATCTAAATTATTAGATTTTAAGAATGAAAAAAAAAATTCATCAAATATTATTGAAAGATATAAAAAAAAAAAATTTCATTATTATCATAATAATTAAAACTATTTTTTATTTTAAAGGATATGTATCATGATCAAAAATAAATTTTTTATACATCCTATGATCAAAATAAGTTTTATGATAGCTGGTGTTCTAGGTTGTACTGCTATTTATAAGTAAGTATAATTATATTATTTATTTATTAACTAATGATAAAAACATACATAATTAACATTGTTTTATATTATTTATATTCAGATTTTATTTCAAACAATATGTTAATTTTTTTGCAAAAAAACAAGTTGAAGAAGAAGCAAATACATTATATGAAAAACTTAGAGAAAAAGAAGCAAAACTATCAAAAATAGAATATAATTAAATGTATTATAAGAAGTTTGTAGATAATATTTAATGTATGTATTTAATAAATAATACATTCAATAATTATATATTATACTTTATTGTTATTATTATTATTATTACTATTATTATTAATTTGTATGTTGGTTTTAATTTCTATGATTATTTGCCAATATATTTTATTAAAGAATATATTAATCCTTGAATTTGCCTCCATAAAAGGGTATATATCTAGCTATTACTTTCCAATCTGTGAGATAAACCACTGTCAAACCAGCAGCTCCTGTATACACCATTAAAGATGGAATCCTAATTCATAAAAAATTATATTTATTATGATTTATATATATTTTACAAAATATATGATGATTTATAAAAACATAAACTTAATACAGTATAATAAAATTAACAAATATATAATTGATGTATATAACAAATATATAAATTATATTATATAATTAATTATTAAATTTAACCTAGCAAATCATAGATATTTAAAATTTTTGAAATAAATTTTAATTGATATATTAAATAAAATAAAATTATTGAAGAATAAATTAAATATTTACCATCTTGTAGCGATTTCGAAGTGTCTTTTTCCTAATTTCATTTTGTAATATCTTAATAATCAATATTACACTTGAGACTGCAAATGATTATTATATATAATACACGAAATGTTTGTAATTGTTTAAAAAAATAAGTACTTACTATTTCAATAATTTTTATGAATATAATAACGTAAAATTAGTTAATTCTTTGTCCTGTTATACAATATATAATATTTAAATTATGATTTATGATATAATAGTGAAAAAAGATTACATGGCAGTATTTTCATTGAAAGATGTTAACTTTAGTAATTTTTAGATCTATTGGTAACACTGATCTTACAAAAGATCAAAATTATATACCAACAAACTTTTAGCAGCCTATTTAATATCATAATAAATAAAAATACAACGAATCAATTATAATTTAATATAAGAATTAGTTAACTATTCAAATTAATTATGATAATATTATAGTTTTTCTATATTTTATATTAATTATTTCATTTTTATTTTTTTATGTACAACATAGTTTTTTGAAAGAAAAATTATGAAAAATATTTTATGTTTAAAATGTTTAAATTTTTATTTTACATCTTATTTTATTTTAATTTCTTACAGCTATATATATATAATATAACGTTATTACAATTAATAAAAAACTATATATGTATATGAAATAAAAATAGCAATACTATTGTATAGTAATAGCATTATTTTTTTTATATCTTTTAATTGCAATAATCATCATATTTATACATTATTAAAATATAAATATTAAAATAATTATATATATTTAATTAATTTTTTTAGAAAAATAATTTAATTATATTATGTTTATATTTATTATTATAATTAATAAAAACGTTAGTATTATAATTAGTTACTAATTTTGAAATTTAGAAAAGATTTATTTGTGACAACATCTAAAATGTTAATTTCTATGAATCAATTTAAACACGGGATAACCGGATGATAACTGATAACCAGATGTTAACAGTATTAGGGAGTTCCCTGATTTCTATGAATTTTTATGTAATGAAGTCACTTCTTGAATTTTTAAAAATAAAAATAAGATAAAGTGAAAAAACTTATTAGTATAAAAATTATATATATGTGTATATTTCAATGACATGAAATTGTATTTATTATAATAATTAAATATTATTAATTTTACTTGTTAAAATTGTTATTTTGGTAAGTATCAATTATTTTAAACATATATGTAATTACAATTTTTATGTATTATATTTTTTTTATATAAATTTATATGTATAAATATTTCTTTTTGTTCCTTAGATTATGGAGAATAATGTGAATGAATTTATACCAAGAACTTATCAAATTGAATTGTTTGAAACTGCATGTAAACAAAATGTTATTATTTATTTACCAACAGGAGCTGGAAAAACGTTTATTGCTGTAATGCTCATAAAAGAATTAAGTGCAGATATAAGAAAGTATGTTCATGAATTATATGTTGAATATGATGTAACAAATTTTTAAAAAATTATATTTTAATATCAATTATTAAAATGAATTTTATATTTAGATCTTATGATAAAGGTGGTAAACATACCGTATTTATAGTGAATACAGTACCTTTAGTTGTGCAACAAAGTGAATATATTACAAGATTAACTGGTTTGTCTTGTGCAGCACTTAGTGGAGATGTGGGAATTGATGTTTGGACAAATGAGGAATGGAATGCACAATTAAAAGAGCATAAGGTATTAAAAGTTGATTATATTGGTATATAATGATCAAAAAAATTATTTGTATATATAAATATATTTTTTTTCAATTAAGTTTCAGTCAATTTTTTTATCTACTTTTATATTTCATCCAAATTTTATATAATGTCAAATTTTTATAGTTATATAAAAGTACTATTATATATATAATTTATATAAAATTATACAAAATGAAAAAAATTTGATTTAAAATATTTATAATACTCATTAAAAAAAATAAAAAATGAATAATAAACAAGTGCTAAAAGTATTTTTTTTTTGGTAGAATCAATATTTATTATTTAATAGTTATTTAATTATTATTTAATAGAGTTTAAAATTTCACAAAAGAATATATTACAAGATTAATTGAATTGTCTTGTGCAGCACTTAGTGGAATGTGGGAATTGATGTTTGAACAGATGCTTTTTGAATTCATTAAATATTTTATATTCTTTTTAGTGAATACAAATATCAGATTTTTTTTTTTTTATCTTATATATTTGATATCTTACTAATTAAAATATATAAATGATGTAATAAATATATAATAATGTACAAATATTGTTTATATTTTACACTATTATAAATATTACTAATAATTTTTGTATATAAATTAACGAAATTACATGAATTATACATTTAAATTTATACATATAAACTTTTTAAAAACATTATATTGTAGGTTTTAGTAATGACATCACAAATTTTAATAGATGCACTCTGCCATGGATATATATTTCTGAATAGAATAAATTTAATTATTTTTGATGAATGTCATAGAGCAGTAAATGATCATCCTATGAGACAAATAATGCAATACTTTAAAAATTGCTCTAAGGAGGATCAACCAAAAGTACTAGGACTTTCAGCAACATTATTAAATTCTAATGTAAAATTAGAAAAAATACATTCAGTTATTGAGGTAAATTTTATTTATATAATCATTTGTAAATTTTATTTACAAATGAATACATAATCTCTCATTTATACAGGATATATATTTAGATATTTTGAATCTTTAGATATAATTATTTATATCTATCTTTATATCTAAATATATTACATAAAATATTAATATATATATATATATTTATATATATGAAAGATATCTTTAGAAATTAAAATATAAATTATTTTATATTTTTGATTTATTTTTTCATATTATTCGTATTAATTGTATTATTAGTTCAATTATTTATTATTTTATATTTTAAAAAATATTTCAAATAGAATTTAATTTATTAACCGATAATAAATGATTTACCTTAAAAAATCAACATATTATATAATAATATAACAATATATTTATCATAAAATGAGTTATCACTTTGAAATCTTGAAAATGCCACTTAGAAAAATTTTATGATATAACAAAATAAAATATTTTTTTTAAAATAAAATAAATTCTGAAATGGTTGTCTATGCTGTGTAATTTGAGAGATTATTGTATCAAATAAAATATTTATATATTTTAATTAATTAATATATAAAATTTAAATTTTATTTTATATGTAGTCTTTGGAAATTACATTTCATGCAAAAGTAGTTACAGCAATAACATCTTTTTATACAAATCCAAATGAAAAAATTATTGAATTTGATCAATATTTAATAGACAATGTTGGAAAGCAAATAAATAATATTATTCAGGAAACAGTGAGAATTTTAAATTGTGTAATTTTAAGAGATAATTTCAAATATAATGAATCAAGTGTAATTTTTAGACCAAAATCTATAAATAAAAAATTATTATCCATATTAAATAATATCAAAGAACAATTTTCAAATACAGGTATATATATATATATATATATGTATATATATATGTATATATGTATATATGTATATATATATATATATATATATATTATTATATTATTATATATATATATTCATAAGATACATAATTAGAACCATTATCTTAAAATTTCAGCACTAATAACTTTACTAATAACTAATGAAAATTGATTTAGGTAAACATGTAGTTTAAAATAAATATTTATCAACAAAATAATGTACTATTATTACATAATAACTTATTGAATAATTACTATTAATTTTATTAATAATTTATTATATACTTATAATAAATATTAGTTTAAAAATAATCTATAAAAGAAAAATATTTATATTTAGAATAAAAACCTTTAAAGTAGTTTTTTGGAATCAATTTCAATAAAATTTGAAATGATGATGATATGTAAAATATGTAAAATAAACATAATTACTATTTCAATCCATAATTACTATTTTAATTATGAAAAAAATCCATTTTAAAAAATGTTATTTGTGGAACTTATAAAATTATAGTATTATAGTAAAGAAAGGATTATTTTTTAAATGTTTTTTAGAATGTTCTTTTTTTACAATGATTTTATATGTATATGTATTAAATTATATTTTATATATATTAAAATGATAAGAATTTAAAAAGTATTTAATATAAAGTTATTAGAAATATTGATATATTATAATATAATAAATTATTAATAATTAAGAAACAAATGACAATAGTTCTAATTATGTATTCTATTTTATATAAAATAATTTATAGAAATAATTGAAAATAATATATATATAATATTATAAATATAATATATATATAATTTACTAAATTTCATTTTTAATATAGGAATTTATGGTGCAAGTAAATGTTTATTACTCCATTTAATTCAATTAGAATGTTTAAAAAAGAATATAGAAGATGTGGTATGTAGTTACTGAACAGGACAATTTTTTTATTTTTTACTAATATTATGTAATATAATATATTATATTTAGGAAACTATAATTGTTATGGAATATATTATAACAGAAATTACTAAATGTAGAAAATTATTAGAAAATAAAATGCAAAATAAAACAGAAATAGAAAAAATTTACAAGTAAGTTAATTTCATTTATTTTTTTATATTATTAATGTTATAAATTATTAATGTTAATGAATAATGTATTAACAATTATATAATTAGTACATAAATTAATTTTTTAAAACAATATTATAATTTGTAATTTTAGTTATTCATCTGATCAAGTGCGAACACTTTTTAAAATATTAAAAGATCATTATAATAATAAAAGTAAAGACCAACAATTTTGTTGTATTATTTTTGTAAAACGACGATTTACTGCAAAATTATTATATCAAATATTAAAGGTAAATAATAATTCTTTTATTTATATATATATATATATATATATAATTATTAATTTAATCTTTTTTCATTATTTTATTATTTATATTATTTCAGAATATATCTATGAATAATGAAGAATATAGATTTTTACATCCAGAATTTCTTATTGGTTTTTCAAATGATCCTTATAGAAATTGTAAAGAAACATTATGTATATCAAAATGGAATAAGGAAGCTTTACATAGGTATATTTTATAAAAAAATTTTTTTTTTAATATAATGCAAATCTTAAGTATAAATATATGTATTATTTAAAAATTATTGAAATGTATTATTTGTTAAAATTTGTTTCAGATTCAAAAATGGTTTGTCAAATTGTATTGTTGCAACAGATATTTTGGATGAA